AGAGAGAGAGAGAGAGAAAGAGAGATTTAAGGTTGATTTAAGGTTGCCGCTTCATCAAGTTCGTTTCTTTCTTTCATTTCACAAACAAGAGATAATTATATGATAAATTTATAGATATTTGAAAATATATATAAGTGGAATATATCTACCGCGATATGCAAATAATTTTCACACTAGACGCAAAAAGTAAGATATGCCTAATTAAAAATGTAGAATTAAATATATTCATAAGACAGATAATTTTTATCGCAATATAATTTATTAAATGTTTCTCACTTCGTCTAAATTCTTTTGGTCAATTTGAGCGCGTTCCGAATTTTCATATTTATTTTCAAAGAATCAAAATCTAAAATCGATATTTTGAATTTCCGTATACGTTGCATTCCGTACAGAGGTCCCCTCTGCTATAAGTATAATTGACCTGATGCTATCGATTGCAAGTTGGACGTCCATTGCTCTACTAGCGTCAACGTGCCGATCAAGTATCATTACAAGTTATATTATATTGTGAAGTCGTCATCTGGCGTTGCGCAAAGCTCACAAAGGAGCTACTTCTTGAAGCGCTTGGTATCTAAGTTGAATAGAAACCCGGGCGCATTTCCCCTTGTCGGATGTAACCGACGACCCTCATGTGTAATCGAGTGCACTCAACTCTCTCTGTGAGGCACCACTCCGGAAATTCGATGCCGGGAGTCTCAGGGCACTCCTGGCCATTATCCATCTTCAAAACGTCAAATTTCCGTTCATACGGCAAATTTCCGTAATTACGTCGCTTCTTCATGATATTCGATTCGGTGCGCATTGAGCCTGCGCCCCAAGTGGAATGCGTGATCTCATTTTCTTAAAGAGAATAAAAATGTGCGTGATATTAATAAATAAATAAAAAGTTTCAGACTCCCCCTCCTCCTTCGATCCCTGACGTAAACGTTCACTGTCAATCATCGAGTGCCGTCATCGACGTTGTTGTTGCCGATGTCAAGTTCGCGGAGATGTAATTCCAAGTCCACGTGGACGATGACCGTGCAGGCGAGCGAGGGTGGTGTTGCATCGATGTGATAGCGACGGTGAGTAATAGTAATAACGGCGCTTGTTGTGACGAGCGGCCCTCGCTTTCGATCGGCGCGCGACACCGACTATAGGAGAACTATCCCCTCGGTGGCCTCCCATGGGTCAAGACTCACCCCCGTCTGTCAGTACGACGCCGGTGGTTGTTGCTACTGCACGCAGCGAAAACGTGCGCTCTCACCCCCCGCGGATGTTTGCGTTCGAGCCACCGATTCGATAAATCGACGCGGTTTAAGTCGCGAGCCGAATCCGCGAGAACGCGCGAGAGGGAGGAGGAGGTGCGTGCGGGGGAGGGGTGTAGTGCGTGCATTTCGAAAGAGTACCAAGAATTTTCCGGACGATACATGAAATTGCGAATGTAAGTGTGTTTCCAACGGCGAACTATACCGACTATACCCTTGAAGACGTCACGTTGGATTTAAGTTCGATAAGCGGCCTAAGCGATCTTTTCAATTATGAAAGTATCTTACGTGCTCTATTAGAGAGAGATGAGCGGTTTGTTGCGCTGAAACCGTGCGTTTTATATATATATATTATTTTTTTTTTTCGTAACAGTCAAACAATAATATCAACGAATGGAGAATAATAACTCTTACTTTAAAACTTTAACACTCAGATATTATTATATTTGTATTTCACGCCTGAATATGATCTCATCCTTATGTATTAAAATAAATCTGACTATTAAAATTTATTTAATTTAATTATTATTATATATTATTAATTATTATTATTATTCTTGATTATTCAGAAAATATAACTTTGTGCTATTAAAAATAAGAGAAGTTCGATCTTTTGTAAATTATAGCGAATTAATAATGTTGATCCATTTCCATGAGATAATAATTGCATAGTGGAAAGAATATTAGAAAATGGACAATGGTGACAGTCGGTGAGTTGTGTTCGTAAATCAATTAGAAGATTAGATGTCGTTTTAATTTGTCGTTTATTTTTTCGAGCGATTCCTCTTAATTTATTTTTTCGAGCGATTCCGCGAAATCTGCCTTTTAATGACTCGTGTAAAATATTTTTATTAGTCATCCGGTGCGCTTATATTTGCTTTCACTTTCAACGATGGTAATAAAACGTGATCTTCCGGAACGGTGGTATCATTCGTGTTGAGAAGAAAAGTGATTCCATTTTCAGAGCAGCCATCGATGCAGGCTGGTGATTTCAATGCGTCTACAGAACAGTTTTAATTAAGTCTTCAACCATGAAGGATTTATCGTCCTAAAGCCAAATTACAGGAATTTACATTGTTATATTCTCTGTTTCTCTTTTATTTATTACGTTTATCAAATCTCTTGAATTTGCTTATTATTTATTTCTTTTTATTTATTATTTCATATATATTTATATTTTTTTATATTTGTTTATGTTTCAGTTACGTTCAGAAAAATTAGTTTTCACGTAAAATAATTCTAGAGCGTTTCGAGGCAGCTTTCGCTTTAATTACGATAACACTTAATTATCATCGCGGGCGAAACGAAGCTTGGCGAGGATTCACAATCGAGTACAATGCGCGAAACGTCTGTAATTAATCGGCTATTGAATGTGCAGATGGTTACAAAAATTTTCGAATTTGTGCACTTACCAGAAAGATTTTGACGAGATAACCGAGATCTTAAATCTCGCAACAAACAGTTTATTCCGACATCTTCATTTTGTTTGAGAAGAATTTAATCGCATTCTCTATTTTTACTCCATATGGAAAAAAAATTTATTTGTTTTTAACGACATTCGCAGAGTTTTCTTTTTATTGGTGTAGGATTAATTATTAATTTCATTTTCAACGATTTTAAACGATTTCTCGTTAAATAACGTAAGAGCGATACCGTAAAATTACAACCTTTCGGAATGCGACATTTCGCGCGCGTAACGAACCGCTACTTGTTTCTATTAATTAATATTCGGATAATACAGATCTGGCAGGTTGACGAATGGTGCTGGCGAAAAATCCGTCTCCAAAGCGCGGCCTGAGCCCCCAACGAGAAAATGGGAAGAACGGGAGGTCGAGAGAACGAAGAGGTGGAGGACGAGGCTCGCGAGGAAACAGTCCTGCCGAGCAAACTGGTTCTCGAGGAAGTAGCCCGGCAAAGAGCGGCGGCTCCGACACCAAGGGAAAGGGGAAAAATGCCCCGCTATTGCACTCGCGGGGTAACGAGTGAGTATCCTGATTCCCGACCGCGTGTCGAGCGGAACAAACGAGTTGCGAATCGATCTTAGACTGCTCTGTGCTTGAGTATCGCATGGGATATTTCCGCTGCCTAGCACGCACTTCCTTTCGTCCAAAGAAATTTAGAAGATTTCTAATCGCTCAGATATTCACCGTCTGATTGTAATCCGGTGTCTCAATTATAATCGCACATTAATAAACGAGTATTCCTTTTACTTTATTTATATTATATATTTATTTATTTTCGCTTGTGGAAACCGCATACTTCTGTAACTAGAAACTATAAAAAAAAATATGTATATATAAATAAATAATAATTATGGAGATTGAATTTTTCCAAGGGACATTTGATAATGCAGTTTTAAAAAAAATAAATACTTTCTTGTATCAAAAAAAATTGATTGTCGGAAAAATTATTTGAGCGACAAAACTAAAGTAAAGCGAAGTCGCATTGTCATACACGATAATAATGATAACATCTATGTAACAAAACATTTATCAAACAATAACTTTAACAAAATATATCGACATCTTTCTCACAATAGACGCAAAGGGTAACATATCATTGTATTCCGACGACAAAATTACCGCGAAACAAATTTGCCTAATCGAAAAACCGATAATCGAAATAGTGAAGCTTTGACAGTGAAGCTATCGACGCTGTCGGAGAAGAAGATTAACGATAAGAAGTAAACAAGTTAGAAATTGACAGTTGATTTATATACTTCTTCTTTATGAATAAATTAGAAAAAGAAGCTAATTTTTTATTTTTATTTTTTTTGCTATGCTTTATATTCTATCTTTATTCGAAAAATTATATTATATTTTAATATATTATTTTTTCTAATAAATTAAAATAATTTATATGTATATATACATATATAATACATATATATACATATATATATATATATATATACATATATAAATTTATAATATAAATTTTTCTATTGCAAAATTGTTATACAAATTATTCCGCTAAGTAAAGTTACACGTATTTTATTTTATTACACGTATAAATCTTATCCTTGTATACGTACTGATAAAATTTATTAAAATTTTTCATAGATTGTTTTTATGCATGAACTTTTTCAACTTTCTCAACAACAATAAAATGGATACCAATGATTTGTGTAATTGCGAAGACGATAAACCTCGACGAAAAAAAAACTTTAACAATCGATCGATACGCGACAAGTTGAATGACGTAGTACATATATTATATTCGCGCAAATACATGATGGAAAAACTCGGCATGATGTTCTTATCGTTTTGATTTGTCGCGATAATATCGGAATCATTACGGTACATGTAAAATTAATAGATAAGCGCGAAAATCGACGTAGATCTCTTTTATACAGAAATCTGTCAGGTAAAATTGACAGCTTTAATCAATACTTAAAATTTCATGAACAAGTGATATTCGCGCAAAATAATCGAGATTTCACTTATGTAAGAAAAACCGATCGGTAAAGATAAAAAAATATGTCACAAATATTAATATATATTTTCTCAATTCAAGAAGAAAATGAGATTGTATTTTTGCAGCGTGTGACGTAAATATCTCTTCGTATAGAATAAAAACAAAAATCAATGTGTGTACATAATTGTAATATTATACAATTTTAAATAATAAATTATATAATCCTTTACGATTAAATCTACAATTAAAAGAGCTGTGAAAATAGATAACACGGATAATGCAAAATAATTTTTGAATTAATTAAACATTATCTCTTCAAGTATATCGACAAATTATGCTCGTTTATAAGCTATTTGTAATTGAGTATCTTGTTTTTCACACGTTTCTGCGATTTAATCTCGATTTATTGTACCACTCGAAATTGCTCTATCGATTCGTGGTTTCGCGAGGAAAAAGATTGGCCGGTGGATAGATTGGTCTAGCTGGAAATCGTTCGGAAGATCTGGGACAAAGATGACACACGATGCGACCATCAAGAGAGACAGTAACTTGTGTGCGTTTGCGACTTGTATTCAACTTTACATGGGGCGTTTGTGTAAACTCCGCACATCATCTTGCACATCGATACGATTCACGCACGCACGGGCATTTCCACGTTTCCGGTATTCGCATACTTCGACAGCTTATCGATTACAGTCTCCTTTTTTCGATCTTGCATGCGATACAATTTTGTTTTTTTTTTTTATGTTATAATATAAAATATTTTTTATGTTATAATATATACATAGTAATATATTTTATCGTAAATATAGGAAATGTACTGCCGACGTACATTAACAAATTATTTTGGCTTAATTATAATTTTTTTTAACGCAATTTAATTTAAATCTTTTTAAAAAATATAATAATATTATAAATATCATAATTATGATTTAATAATAAAAATATTAAACCGTTTTACTTTAATTGTGCATGTAAAAAGATAGTTAATTTTCTAAGACAATTTAGTGTTAAATGTTTTTAACTAAAGAAATAGAAATAGGTTTGACTTGTGCCCAAATAGAGTAGAACAAAATACTTAATATATATATATTTTCTGATTTTCTGATAGACTCTGAACAGATATATATATATATATATATCACGCAAAGCGCAATAATTAAATATTTAATGAAATATCGGCGCATAAATGACGACCTATCACGCGGCGATGCTTTCTTTACAGTCCTGAATTTGCAATCGGCACGCGACTGTGTTTGAATAATAATTGCGCATTTCATTTCATACCCGCTTTCGCCGTGACCGTGAAAGCTCATCTCCGCCATTTAAACGCAGTCGCGAATTTGTATATAAATGTAGAATAGAATCATTTTACATTAGATGATAAATTAGAACGCCGAGAATGTGCTTGCGATCACCTAAGCTCGCGTTCTCCATGCAACTTTCCGGATCTTAAGTTCTCTCAGTGAGAGAAAGAGAGAGTGCGTTCTATCTCTATTTGATCTGGTGTTGATTCTGATGTTATATGAAAGAAAAAAAGAGGGACAAACCGGTGATACACCCGGATATTTACGCATGTGTAATACAGGGATAGTCATTACGATATCGACGACTAGAGGAGGTCGCGTGGCAAGGTCCCGCAATCGATAAACGACGTCGAACTATATCGTAAAAGTGCGTACGTCCGCTGTACCGCCCGCTGTATGTTCGTAATTAATATCACGAGGAAGACCATGACGAGAACGACGTGAGTCTGTTTGATGAGCCAACAAGTGACTTCCACGATTGTGGAGTCTTGTAAAAGTGGTCCCAACATACGCGGCCGTACTCACGGATACAACACTTATTGTAAAACGATAAACGTTGACTCACTTCGCACGTGGCTCACGTGCGTATATATACATATATATATATACCATGAAATTATGGGGCAAGCAGCCACGAAAGGCTGTTTAAGATCAATCAATTAAATTAGGGTTAATTGATTCGAATTTACATCGCGTCATCGTACACGAAATGTCGAGAGTCTCAAATTTTACACGATTACGAGGTACATGCTTTTAGACAATTCATTATTATATATCGCAGACTACGAGGATGGGGGGGAGGAAAGAAACGGGGGATTTTTCTGCAATTCTAGATAATTTTTTGTTCACAGAAAAAAATTTTGCTGAAATATGTAAAAATTTGGCCAGATATAAAATTGAAAATAATTTTGTTAAATTATGAGAATTATGTAGGACGTTGTAGGAAATTTTTGCAAAATTAGCGTTGTTATATATTAATGTTCTCTATCTTGACGATCGGACAAAATTATTTTCAAATTTGTATGTGGCTAAATTTTTAAATACTTGAGCAAAATCTCTTTCCCTTTACGAGTCTCATCTCAATTCATTATTTCCATTATAAGTGCAAACCGCCTATTATTATTCCAAAATCATGGAAAATCATCTTTATTTCATATCCGATTACTCGATATTCGTGGAGGAAGTGGTTTCAGCATCGAGTGATGCGAGCACTCGAAGCAAAGCGAGATTCGCGGGATGCCCTCGTATTCCGCAAACGGGAAACTTCCTGGGAATCGCCGTTTGCGACGTGACTGATCGATCGAACGATCCGATATTTACCAACATCGTTGTCCTAAATCATTGAGGGCGATCTCTCTCTCTCTCTCTCTCTCTCTCTCTCTCTCTCGGATTCCGCGTTTTTTTTTTCGGATGAAAAAGAAATCACGCCCGGGTAACGCGGCCAAGCACGCGAGCGATTCGCGACTCGATGCGCTTCGATCGGTGCCTCGTGAATTATGAGAATTGGCCGCGGCGATTAGAGGTCAATCGGACGATTGACTAGACATTTCCGTATCGGACATTCGCGATCGCGCATTCATGGAACGCCGTTAATTTGCGGAATTAGATCGGCGGTCGCGTTTAATAATAGAAACCGACGGCGATTGGTATACACGTAATGATAATAAACGCAAGTCCCACTGTGTGACGTTTGCGTACATTTTTTAACCATAGAAACTGGAACGTACCACGTGGAGATCTTTAACTGGAATGACTATAACTTTTATAAGATGATTTTTAACTATGTAGAATAAATTATAACACAAGTGTATTTTAAACATAATTACTTTTGATAACATGAAACATTATCCACTTTTTTTAATTGCAAAAACAAGACAGACAATTAATTTTTTTTATATCAGATAGATGAAAGTAAGATTTCCAAGTTACTTTTCATTGTTTAAATGACATTTATATATTTACATCATTTTCGTATTTGCTAATCGTTATTGTTCCTTATGAAATTTATAAATTTATTTCATTAACATGTATTAAAAATAAATCGTAAAGCTAATGCTGTTACGTTTTCAGAGCTGGTAGCATCGAGAGATTGATAGACGGCGATAAACGGATAATTGCGACCAAGCATTTACTTCCAGAAAACAATATAAATGTCGCTGTCAGGTATTTAGCTCAATTTACTCTTTTATCCGGCTCTTTTATCAGCTCGGTAATAACTCAGAACGTTATTATAACGTCTTTCCTCTTTCTTAGAGTTCGTCCGCTCAGTAATAAGGAAATTAAATCCGGCGATGAGATGGCCGTGCATTTTCCCGGCGATGGACAGATATACGTAAGTGCAAAAGTTGCGTATTAAAATGATTTTCGTTATTCTCAATCTAAATCCTTCGATTTTCAAAGTCGACATCATCCCGATTTTTCTCTATGCACTGATCCAAGTTAGGTGGAATTCTTCTCTTTTCTCAGTGCGACGCGGTTACGAGCAGCGGCGACAAAAAGCCGAAGGTATTTTCCTACAACGTTGTTTTCGAGCCAAATGCCACGCAGGAGGATATTCTACAATATTCCGGTATTAAGAACCTCATTGACATGGCAGTGGAAGGCTTCAGCTGCACCGTGTTTTGCTACGGGCAAACCGGAAGTGGCAAAACGCATACCCTGACCGGACCTCCGAGACTCGTAAGCGAAGAAAACAATTCTTCACTTTAACTATTTCCTTCTTCTTTGAAGTACTTTTTAATCTTGTTAAGAGATTTTTGGGTCCTATTGGATTTTTAGCATACTTAACGAGAACTAATAAATAACGTCAAAATATATAAAATTTTCGTACGTTCCTATTCTAAACATTAATTTCAAGAATCTATTCTGATCTTTCAAAAAGCAACATTATGCCGAATATTTTCTGCGAGAAATCGTCGATATTTAAAACAACGCCAAGCGTTTTTAATGACGCTAGCAACTATATGTCCGTCCATAGTGCAAGAGACAATACGATAAAATACATACGGTAAAACATATGGTGACGTTTGCGATCGATAGCTACATCGGAAGGTTAAAGTTGATTGTCTTTCGTAGATAAGATAATACGACGCGTCTAAGTCACACGTAACGTTATTTCTTGCAACTAAACGCAATAGTGAAATTTCGATAGGTCAATACTGTATCGAATAAAAGTTTTAAAGTGATCGATAAAAAGTGTTTCGAAAATAATTCATAAATCGCACTTATGTATGAAAAAAAAAGTATGTTATCGATATACATTTCACAATTTTATCTCTCATTAAAGAATAGCAAAAAGTCAGTTAACTGTAATTAATTTAATGTAATATATTTAATAAATTAAAAGATATATTAAAGGTTTTTAAAATTAAAAATTAAGTTTAAGCAATATTAAATTAAATTAATCTTGTTCAGTTATAGACTTATGTTTCTATTATATCTTCTCGTATCTATAAAGTTAATCTAATAATTGTTTTTTATAATAGTTCGATAAAATGGATCCATACTCGGAGGATCACGGTCTGGTCTTCCGTTCCTTCGTCTACCTATTCAAAGTCCTTAAAAAACACGAGAATTGCAATTTTGTGCTAAAAGCTTCCTTTCTGGAAATCTACAATGAGAAGGTTTGTTTTTAAAACGCTAAAACCTCACTTCAATACTAACAATAATAAAATAAAACAAGAAATTCTTTTTTTTTAATTTCATATAAAATTAAACACCTGCCTTAATTGTCATAACAAAAAATAAACAAAAAATTTTCTTTTGCTTCATATGTGTAAAATAAAACACATGATTATTGTTGTAAACAAAAAATTCTGCTATAAAATACAACGATAAATGTGTAACAAATAGGTGATAGATCTCTTAAATCCTGGCACTTCGAGAAAACCCTTGGCAGTTCGGTGGAGTAAAAAAACTCGCGGGTTCTTCGTCGAAAATCTCTTCACCGTGGAATGTGAAGAATTAGACGATCTTTTGGCGGTTCTCGAAGAAGGTAAGACTTCCGAAGGAAAAAAAAAGAAATCCGGAATTTTGCTACAAAAGGGAGCCATAAGATTCCAGCCTGTAAATTTAGCTTGAATTTTTCGTATTATTCCCTATAATTCGTATTATTCACTACTATAATTTATATTTTTCTAATTTTCCTAATTGATATTAAGTAATCATATATATCAGTTCTCTAGAATTCAATTTCATAAAAGTTCAATTTCTCTAATTGACACACTCGGACGTCGAAGATAACAATCGCAAAAAGCTGTTTATAATATTTTCTATCTTTTAATTAATTTGCTCTTTAATATAATATTCGAATTGAAAAGCTGTAATTATTACAACTCGTTCTTTTTGTTTCTATCTTTTATCATCGCAATGATCAATTTTACGTTCACTTATCTCAATCTATAACAATCAATGGAATTATATAATTATAGAACATTTATGCGAGAATACTTAAGTATCCCTTGGAATGTGCAATTAATGTAGAATATTTATTATTTATACTTAAATATCTCTAGAAATATGCTATTAATAATCGCGGTCTTTATAGGAATGAGGAATAGATCAATCGGTACGCACAATATGAACGAATATTCCAGCCGAAGCCACTCAATTTTGACTGTAAATATAACTTCTGAGCAAGCAGTAAGTAAATGCGATACCTAGTGGTTATTACACATATTTCCCTTGAGACAAAAATAAAAATACACCCAAAGATAAGCATCGAAAACATCAAAATAGCATGTTGGATTACGTAAAAAGGCTAATTTCAGTTCGATTTATTTCATTGCTATTTCTCACTGCGCAATCAAATTGAGAGTTATATATTGAAAACTAATGAGCAATAGGCGTATGAATAAGCCATCTCGCAGCAGAATAAAATTAATTTTTCCCATCACCTATCAATTCATTTCGCCGCCATTTCTCGCCGCACATTCAGATTAATTGAAACTAAAATGCGCCTCTTTCTTCGCATCGATAGATGGAGAACGGCGTGTTCATCTCGAAACAGGGTAAAATAAATTTCGTGGATCTCGCCGGAAGCGAGATGACGAAGAAAACTCTGAGTGAGGGCAAAACCTTGGAAGAGGCAAACAATATTAACAAAAGCCTTATGGTACTAGGTAAGTCAATGCTCTAATTATATGTTCCGGTATATGTTGAAAGCCTCGGAATTTTTCTTCCATATATAACACGACTCGATATAATTCATTATAAATATAAAACTTGCGGGGTTCAATGTTTTCTTACGTTATGTGGCCGATACTATATAGGGTAAACTAAAGGAATTCACGTCACATCTGTCGTACTATCGTTTTACTATGAATAGTGATTAATTTATCGACGGAAAATTAGATTAGATCTTGACTTTGAAATTGCGATGCGTCTATTATTTAGAATAGCTGAAGTAATCGATAGCTAGACTATTAAGTTACTGACATGTGAAAAGACGTGCCCCCGTGCGCCTTCCGTCTATGGAAAATGATCGATAAACTTTCGCGATTACACCCGCGAAATGAAACGATACTTTTCGCAAAAAGCCTTCCGGATGGCTTTTTTGCAAAATCATTTGAGAAAGACGTGATACTTTTAATTCGCAATTTCGCGAAACGGTAATGTCTAATTTTTAAATTAAGCTTTTGCAAGAATAAATGTTGTTTATACATATTTTGTGTAGGATATTGCATCGCTTCGTTGAGCGATGGAAGACGAAAAGGTGGGCACATCCCTTATCGGGATAGTAAACTGACAAAGCTTTTGGCTGATAGTTTAGCCGGAAATGGCATCACATTAATGGTGAGTTGCTAAGCAAATTTTCAACACAACGAATCAATTCGCGATTAGCAACAATCCACAAGATTGTTTATACAAGAAATGTTAATATGATGTATCACGTGATATTAATATGTTGTAAATGCTCTGAAAAAAATTGAACTAATTTAGGAAGAATTAAAAAGCGAAATTATAAAGAGAAAATTTAAATTTTCTGAATCTTCAAAAATAAACTTTTGAAGAACTGAGATTACGGAAGATTATATATTAAATTAAAAATATATAATAAATTCCTAACGATTATTTGCACAATTTTCACCAAGTTACAATTGTAAATTTCTTTTAACAATATCGATAATTATATGTTTAGATTGCCTGCGTTTCACCAGCTCGTTCGAACGCCAATGAAACGTTAAATACTTTGAGATACGCCGCAAGAGCCAAAAAGATTTCCACAAAACCTATTATAGTGATGGTAAGCTCACGCACTTTCTTTAAATAAATTTCAGATTTTAAAAATAATTCCAAAATCTAAATGAAACTTTATTTTTCAGGATCCACGTGAGGCTCTAATTCTCAGCTTAAAGCGAGAAGTCGGGGCTCTTCAGACCGAAAACGATCATTTAAGGCTGACTCTTCATCTTAACGAAGCTCAAAATATGCTTCGCAGCGAATCCAAAAGTATTATTCGCATATTCCTAGGATATCTTATCATGAATTTTTTATCAATAATATTAATCACAAGAAAAAATTCAAACCATTGGAGCAATCTTAGAACACGAATTGAAAAAAATTAGGAATTTGTTTTGCAAACTTTTGAGTTTTTTATATGTATCAACTTTTTCAAAGAAATAAAAATCTTTAATATAAAAAACAAAAATTACTGATCGAACAATTTGATAAATCACAAATAGGAAGAACGATATATATATATATATATATATATATATATAATATTTTAATAATACAATTTTAATATTTTGATACAAATATTTGATTAAGCCAATTGTTTATCTCGAAGACTAAGAATTTGATCATGCTTATAAGATAACTCGCTTTATCGGCATTTTTTTTTTATTTTCATCAATTCTCCTTTTTTTATCGTCATCGATTGCTTACAGGCGAAAGACTGATACCCATAACACCGCCACCGGTGGATTTGGACAAATTGGCCGAGATGGAAAGTTCGGAATTGAGCCAATTGATCCACGCATATATCACCGAAAACGAGGCGCTACGACGTGAGAATGCGGAGCTCTATGCCACGCGGGACCAAGTGATACGGGACCAGGAACTTGTTTGTCGCGAAAACGAGAGGTTGCTGAAAAAACTCGAGGACGTAAATTCGTAAGTTCGCTCAAAACGGTGTGACATTCCGTGAACGCGTGTTAGGAGATAAATATTCGAAATATCTATGTTTTTTGCTCACCTTTCGCGTCAAATTTACATTCGAAATCAAACTTTCGAAAGTATCTATAGTTCGTATAGCTTTATATATATATATATATACGGTTTATATTTTTAAAAATTTATATGCGAATTTTTATACGTGATGTTAGGCATTGCACGTGAAATATCTTTATGAAATTAATAATATGATTAAAATATTACGGTTTGAATTTTTTTTATCTAAATTTTGTAATTTACGTATTGCAACTACATGACTTTCCAAGGTTTTGTTTTTCTTTATACTTAACATATTCGATATGGCGGATTTCTTGATACTTTTGCAGAGTATGCTGTCGATCGCCTATAATACCAGCGAGGCCCTCGTACTCGGCAGAATTATTGAATGACAATAACGAAGATGTACCTGGTGCGACTAATGTTTGGACGAATCCTAACGCCGCTCCCAGTCCAGTGTATTCTTTTTCGAAGGTATGATCAAAGTACATCTGAAACAATAGTAATACGCGTTTATTAAAGAAAGTTACATTCACTATAATAATGTAAACGTGTATGAAATTAGTTCTCGTTAGATTAAAGTTATATTAGATCATGATTATTGTATTTTACGAGAAACATCAGAAACTCGGAATACATCAAAATTTCCTCGATTAAACAATATATTTTTGTTTCAGTATACAATTAACAGTGGACTGTACAGATCAGCCGGTAGCATGCCAGAGAAGGTGCTAAAGGAGCTCGATAAGCGAAGAATCGTCGGGAGTTATAATAACATCGCCGAGGCTTATAAGGATAAGACCAATCACCGTCGTCACAATTCGTGGGATAACAGTAATCGACCTATGATTAGCCCAGAACAGAGAATCTCACCAATAGATATAAATCAGTAAGTGACTTAATCTTATTGCGATTTAATTTATCGTTTAATCTAGTGAGTAAATCTGTTATAATTTTATTAACGTTATCTTTATCGCGAAAAGCTCGCATAACTATCTTATCTATTACATTGCAATTTTTTATTACAACTTATTTTAAAGTTATATTTTTTAAATTTCAAAGGGCATATTTTCTAGAAATATATCTCTTGTGTTTCTGAGTGAATGTAAATGCGTTTCAAGTTTAATAACTTAGGAACGTAAATTCGTATGGAATATTGCATCAAATGTGATACCTGGGGAATTCAAGTCTTTATATCTATAGTAGAAAATATGTCGGCGACAAAAAAGCTCATACAATACAAACTTCGTAGCTATATTGCAACAACATTTCTGCAATGTTTTAATATTGCAGCATGATCTATGCTGTATTAGAGAATCAATTGTATCTAATTTCATTTTCGAAAAAATAGGAATTAATTTGATGTTTTAACTTCAAAGACGAAAGAAAAAGTCAGCAAATCTAAACTAGAATTTAAATTTGCAAACATTTCATCTATTTCATAATATGAATGAGATCAGAAATACTCGTCTCTCCGAATTTCATTTCGTGAATGACCTGCGGTTCCCTGAAGTACCATGTTTGACGCTCGTCACCCCGGTCCCGAGCAAAACCGGCTAAACTAATCAAAGGTACACGCGGTGACAGTCAAGGTCGAAGGACGACCTTGCGGCGCACCTCGACGGTCCCTGAGGAGGGTAAGTCATTGAGGTCGAGATCGAGATCGAGTGACCTGCCCGCTGCGGATGGCGATGGCACCAACACCACCATCACCGATACCACTACCACCACCACTACTACCACAACCACAACCACCATCGGCATGACCACTTCGACCACCGAGATGCACGTCGAGCAATCTAACGGGTCGCCCGATTCGATTCTGAGCGGTCCTCTCGATGAGGGTACCAATTCCGCTCCTCACAGCGCGGAGTCGGTCACCCCTACCGTTCCTTTTCCACCGATCTCACACTCGCCTTCGTTTTTCGCGCCATTGGAGTCGGGATCGCGGACCCGAAGGTCGCAATCGCGGACCAACGACAGGAGGAGCGCTGGAGGGAGGACGAAGGACGAACAACGGGCATTCGGGAGTCCGGTCTCCATCGACGACGATGACGACGCGCAATTTTGAGACCGCGAACGTCGACGGATCCCAGAAAAGATGCCATACACCTACGAAAAAAATAAAAATCATTTTCGAGGGAACACATTTTTTTGCGCAAGGAAATAAAGACAATTTCCCTCTTTTTATTCTGTGAGAGACATAGAGTGACATCTATTTAATAAACTACTCATACAATTATTCATTATTGTAATTGTAAAATACACTCCTACACACATGTTAGACAAATTTCTTTTTCTTAGTTCAAAATGAGAGACGAGAGTTGTACAGAATAAAATACTTATAGATAAATCGAAGCTATGTAAGAAAATTGATGAATTAAAGTGAATTGAAAGAAAAGTTTGCGTATACAAATTGTCTTTTTTTCTTATATCTACTCATTTCTGAATCCGGAAATTTTTTTTTATATTTTGGAAAACTTACATTTCAAACTCATATTTAAATTCAGATTTGTTTTTAATTACTTATGTTTTTCTCATTTCTATATTTCTTCAATATGGCGAATACATCGAGACGAAAGTGACGCAATGTATCATTTTTTCATGATCAATTCTTATTCAATAAAATGAATCATATCGAATTCTTACGTTCTTCCCAAATTTTATCTTTTAGTTTCATTGCCGCTCGATGATTGAGGATGATAATCGATAAATTTATTATATAAAGTCCGTTCTTCGTCTATCCAAGCAAAAATTTTAAACTGTTCTTCCTACAGTACAATTCGGGAACTTGTGTTGTCATGGGTGTATTTTGATTGGTCGCACACACTTCAAATTGTCGCTACACCGCGTATTGTGTCACGTGACCACGCACCGCAAACGCGCGCTGTGATTGGCGCTCGTGCGCTGCCAACATATCATTCGCACTCGAAACTCGCACAAATTGTCCCACTTCGAGACGCGAATTGAAATTTAATTATTGTCAATGAAATGTAATAAAGGCAAAAAATGTATAAAATGAATATATTGCAAGCTTATTTAATCGAATTCAAAATTTAGTTTGTCATAATATAATTTCACTCGAATAATTGTAATTAAAAACAATTTTTACAAGTCAAATTTTGTTAATAGAAATATATATAATATGCAAATGAAGAAAACGATTATACGATTATACGATTGAGAACTTATGTTTTTTTAATTAAAGATGCCTTTTCATCATCGTTAATCGCTCATTTTTTGCGTCAAAATAGATTGCATGATCAAAAGTGATCATCTAAATTTCATTATTCTGCGTGACCAATCTTCATCGCATCGGATTTATGCTCGATTAACTTTTATATCAATTTAATTTACTTTTTATTTTCTCTAAAAATTAGAAACAATTTAAAGATGAATAATTAGTTCTGAAAAATAAAAAAAAGAATTAAGACTAAATTAAACCGAGATTAAGATTAATAGAAGTTGGTAGAAATGAGCATTAATAGTGCGCAGAACGAATGATGAATCATCGGCGCGCGTCAACTCTATAACTTTCCTTGTTCATGGCGCGACCAATCAGAATCGATCACGGCACAGCGACAGCTTCGGACGTAACGAGCGACGAAACGGACGAGCGAATGAATGTGGGAGCGAATCGGTAAGTCCGTGTAGCAACAGCGAATGAGAGAGCGCGAGGGGGGGTTGGGCGAGGTGCAGGGCAGCGTTGTCGTTAAATTGGACGTGGTGCTGTGTCGCGGTGTGTGAATTCTCTCTCTCGTTGACGTTCTCCGGAAAAGAACAAAGGCGATAACGACGATATTCCTCGAAAGGACACGAAGGCGGCGGCGATCACGGGCCGTGGTTAGGCACGAGGGCGTTCGCGGGGAGCTGCGGCGCGGCGGTGGTGGCGGTCAACCAGGGGGCAAAGGAACAGTGGAGAGGAAAGGAGAGGAAAAGCGCGGTGGAAGCGACGTGTGCGGCGGCGGTGGTGGTGGGAGGTTGGTTGGTGCGCGTCCGTCAGGCGGCCGGATATTCGTCTGTGCCTGTCTGTGCTGGTGTCGTCGCCGTCGGCGACAAAGTGCACTCGAGGTTCAGCGAGCCGTGTATGCGCACGCGGTGGCAAGCGCGGTCTACGGGAGGCGAGGAGAGAGAGAGGGAGAGAGAAAGAGATAGAGATAGAGATAGAGCGAGGGAGTGAAAAGAGGGAAGGGTGAGAGGGAAAGAGAGAGGGCATAATCAGGGGAAACAATCGACGGCACATAATCCGACGTCCCCGTGAACACGTCCGTCAAGTCCTCCGATGTCTAGTGCTGAGGTGGCGGAGAGCTCCGTTGATCCCCCAGCCAAGAAGCGACGCGTTGGTGCTGCCAGCACGACGGGAGGAGCCGACGACGAGCTGACGACGACGAACGTGGCGGAGATGGACGTAGACATGGCGAAGAACGGTTCCACGAGCTCCAGCAGCAGTGGCGGCGGCGGTGGCGGTGGCGGCGGCGGTGGCGGTGGCGGTGGCGGTGGCCGAGCGCCCGCCGAGATCGACGAGGGTCTGTACTCGCGTCAGCTCTATGTCCTCGGACACGACGCTATGCGCCGCATGGCGTCCTCGGACGTGCTTATCTCTGGCCTCGGCGGCCTCGGTGTCGAGATCGCCAAGAACGTCATCCTCGGCGGCGTTAAGTCCGTCACGCTGCACGACCATGCCGCATGCAAGCTGACCGATCTGGGCTCGCAATTCTATCTCACCCCTGCAGACGTAGGTAAGGAACGAGCGCGCGTGTGCTCCGAACAATGCCGGTCGGAAACACGTGAGAGACGCGTCAAGGTAGAAAAAAGCGCGCGCATACTTTTGATCTTTTTGCCTTCTTAGAAGAACATCGATAATATAAAGACAGATGTAGCATAACGTCGTTACATTTTTTTTTTTTTTTTTTGAAAATTCATAAAATATGGAAAAGAGAAGCTTAGAAAGAAAAAAATAAAGAGTTTTAAATGTTTTAAAAAAAGAAAAAATTACGTTCTTTACGGAAATACGCTTATTTTAGTTGCATTTTTCTGTCCTTTTTATACTAAAAATGAACTTCAGTTTCATAAATAAAGGGGATGATATTTAAAGAATTAAGAGCATGATAGATTCTATATATTGACAAGAAAAAAAAGATCGAGAAACTTCTAGAGAGATGATGACATATTATGCAATATTTGAAGGAAATAAGATCATATTAGAAAAATCTTAGAATTACTATCTTAGAATTTAAAATTCAATTAAAAAATAGATTTGAAAGTAATTAAAAATAATTTGAAACTATATGATAGTATTATATAGTTTATGCACGTTATAATAACATATGTAATTCTTTTTTGGAATGAAATTTATTGGAGATTTGGCTTTACTTTCCGTTGATAAACTTATGCAATCCGGAAGTGTAATCTTTACAACGATAAGATTTCAATTGAGATAAGACAATGCTGCTATTGTTAAGTAAATTCTAATTTTCTTGCGCCATTTAATTGTCATTGCTCTTATGTACTAAAAATATGATACAAAACTATAAACTACATGCTATTAGTGCAAATCATTGTGAAAAGGTTGTCTTATAAAATACTGCTTAGGCGATATAAATAACACATTCTTTATTCTAAAGTTGTATCAACTCCAAGATACCAATTACATTGTATGAGAATAAAATTGTAGACATTTATATATTATTTGTGTCAAATTACATGCATTAATATATATATATATATATATATATATATATATATATATATTAATGCATGTAATTTGACAAAATTAAATTCCTAAAAAATTCTGTTATATACTTAAAAATTGTTTGATAAACAATAAGTCTTAGAACTTATAAAATAATATTTTTTATTAATCCGAGACTTGAATTTATCATTTATAAAGTGTTAATTCCATTGAAACTAGTAAGACTATTACAATTTTGTAATTTTTTTAATTAAACATTAATAACAGAATTAACGTTTTTTTTACGTCACTAAAACCGAATTTATCCGGCAGGTAAGAATCGCGCGGCAGCGTGCTGTCAACGCTTGTCAGAGCTGAATAATTATGTGCCTACTCGTCACTACTCCGGTCCGCTGAGCGAGGAGTACATCCAGCAATTCAAGGTCGTGGTATTGACGGAGACGCCGCTGGCCGAGCAGCTTCGCATCTCGCAGATCACCCGCGACAACGACATTGCCCTGATAATCGCCGACACTCGCGGCCTCTTCTCGCAGGTGTTCTGCGACTTTGGTGAAACGTTCACGGTGGTAGACATGAATGGTGAACCGCCGGTAAGCGCGATGATCGCCAGTATCTCCCGCGACGGCGAAGGCGTCGTCACATGCCTGGATGACACTCGCCATGGTATGGAGGACGGCGACTACGTGACCTTCTCCGAAGTACAAGGCATGACCGAATTGAATGGTTGCGAGCCAATTAAGATCAAGGTGCTGGGACCATACACCTTCAGCATTGGCGACACTTCTAGGTGAGCCACCTTAGCGGTTATAACAATCACGACGTATTTTCAGAATTTAAAACATATATAAAGTTTGCTCGACTTATTTTGTATCGTGTGACTTCGCGAATAATACTTCATTATTTCTGTAAAAATTTGTTATAATTAATATTATATATCATTTATTATATTTTCTTCGATGAGAAATCCTTTTCAGTCTGATCAAACTACACGAATCGAATGTCGTTAGGTTCTCCGAATATGTGCGCGGCGGTATCGTGACCCAGGTGAAAATGCCGAAAATCCTGCACTTCACGCCACTTAAGGCAGCTTTGAAGAAACCCGAGTTCCTCATCACGGACTTTGCTAAATTTGACTATCCAGAGCAGCTGCATTTAGCTTTCCTAGCATTGCATCAATATGTAGCTGATAGAGGTGGGTTACCACGACCATGGAATCAGGCGGACGCCGATGAGTTCATCGTCATTGCCGAGAATATAAAAGATAGTTACGGTTTTGACACCGAGATCAATGGTGAATTGTTACGCACGTTCGCTAAAGTATCCGCCGGTGATTTAAACCCCATGAACGCTACAATCGGCGGTATCGTCGCTCAAGAAGTGATGAAAGCCTGCTCTGGTAAATTTCATCCCATTTATCAATGGTTATACTTTGACGCCATTGAATGTCTACCTGTCGACCGTTCAGAGCTTACCGAAGAGGATTGCTGTCCCACGGGAACCCGTTATGATTCTCAGGTACAATATTAATTTAAGTTTTTTTTTTAAATTTCAGAGAATTTGGAAAAAGTTGAAATTTTAAATGTATTGATGATAATATAAATTTATAATGACATTAATAATAACATTTTTAATATATAAATTAAAGTATTAAGCATTTAATTTTACTGCTTCATTATTGATTTAATTGTTTTCAGGTGGCTGTTTTCGGCAAAAAATTCCAGTCCAAGATCGGCAGCTTAAAATATTTTGTGGTCGGTGCTGGCGCAATCGGTTGTGAATTATTAAAGAACTTCGCGATGATCGGCGTGGGTGCGAAAGATGGTGGTTTTGTCACGGTAACGGACATGGACTTGATTGAGAAATCCAATTTGAATCGACAGTTTCTGTTCAGACCGTCAGATGTGCAGCAATCCAAGTCATCGACGGCGGCCAGAGTTATCAAGAGCATGAATTACGAAATGAACGTGTTTTCTCATGAAAATCGAGTGTGCCCAGAAACGGAAAGGATCTACGATGACACTTTCTTCGAAACGCTGGACGGCGTCGCAAATGCGCTCGACAATGTGAACGCGCGTATTTACATGGATCGTCGTTGCGTGTACTATCGTAAACCTCTACTGGAATCCGGTACACTCGGCACTAAGGGCAACACTCAAGTAGTGGTGCCATTCCTCACTGAATCGTACAGTTCGTCGCAGGACCCACCGGAGAAGAGCATTCCTATCTGTACGCTCAAGAATTTCCCCAATGCCATTGAGCACACCTTGCAATGGGCTCGCGATAACTTCGAAGGCCTGTTCCGTCAATCAGCGGAAAACGCTGCACAGTACATTTCCGATCCGCAATTTATTGATCGGACGCTCAAACTGCCTGGTGTACAGCCTCTTGAGGTGTTAGAATCCGTCAAGACGGCGCTGGTCGACGAGAGACCGAACAACTTCGCTGACTGTGTGGCGTGGGCCCGTTGCCACTGGCAAGAGCAGTACAGCAATCAGATCCGCCAGTTGTTATTCAACTTCCCGCCGGATCAGGTGACCTCGAGTGGTCAACCCTTCTGGTCCGGCCCGAAACGTTGTCCGGATCCATTAGTCTTCGACGTCAATGATTCCCTACACATGGACTACATTGTTGCGAGCGCCAATCTCAAGGCCAAAGTTTACGGAATACCCACAAATCGCGACAGAGAAGAAATTGCCAGAATCCTCGCCACCGTAAAAGTACCAGAATTCACACCCAAGTCTGGCGTGAAAATCGCCGAAACAGATTCACAGGTAAGAAACAAATTAACAAACGTTTTGAATACACGAATATTTTGTATCGAGTATTATTTGAAATCAACATTTGAAGATTTTAGAAATTTTGAAAAAAAAAAATCAAGATTTTAATTAATAATATTGACCATAAAAGAATCTGGGAAACCTTAAAAAGATCTTCATAAATTCATTTGTAAAGTAATTATTAAAGTTTTAAGTATTAAAAATCTTCAACCAGCGTAATTTTACAAATACAAGAAAGAGAATTGTGAGATTGATTATGTTTCAGGTACAAGTATCAAATGGCAGCGGTAACATCGATCACGAACGGCTATCGCAACTGCAAGAGGAACTGCCGAAAGTGGAGGATCTAAACGGCCTGGTGATTTATCCGCAGGAATTCGAAAAGGATGACGATACCAATTTCCACATAGACTTTATTGTCGCGGCGTCGAATCTGCGCGCTACCAATTACAAGATCCCAGCGGCGGATCGACACAAGAGCAAACTGATCGCAGGCAAGATCATTCCGGCAATTGCCACTACTACTTCGGTGGTGGCTGGTCTCGTCTGCCTAGAATTATACAAACTGACGCGCGGTGTGCGCGACTTGTCACTATACAAGAACGGCTTTGTGAACCTGGCATTACCATTCTTCGGCTTCAGCGAGCCGATCGCCGCTCCTAAGCTCAAATACTACGATATCGATTGGACATTATGGGACCGTTTTGAAGTAAAAGGCGAGCTAACGTTGAAAGAGTTCCTCGATTACTTCAAGGATCGTCACAATCTGGAAGTGACGATGTTGTCACAAGGTATCTGCATGCTGTACTCGTTCTTCATGGCGAAGCCTAAATGTCAGGAACGCATGGGCCTGCTCATGTCGGAGGTAGTGAAGAAGGTGTCGAAGAAGAAACTGGAACCACATGTACGCGCTCTCGTGTTCGAGCTCTGCTGCAACGACGAGGACGGGAACGACGTCGAGGTGCCGTATGTGCGATACACCCTGCCCTGACTCGCCCACGCGGTCCCCGATCGCGCCAGATGATGTCTACTTAACTGAGACACTTAGCCCGTATATAGTGATTTCTACAAATTTCTATTTTACGACGATGTAATACATGCAGGAGACGTTACTGCTGCTGATCCTCGTCTATGAATGTCTGTGTGAGGCACTCTCTTTCTATATATATACATATATATATATATATACATAATATGTATACATATACTATTTTTCTTTTTTTTTTGTTACTGTCGTTTAAGACGCGGTATTTTCACGCGTTACTACCGCCAGCGCTTAGTAGTAGTGATCTCGAGCAGTAGGATCCGATTCTTCGTTTTGTTTAGAATAAGATTTATAGGCAAATTTGGTCTTCGCGATCGGGTTTTCTCGATCAGTCGCTATGTACCGGATTATGATATCAGAAGTGAAAGATAGATTTTATGTAATTCGAATAGTCATTCTTTTACTAAAATAAATACCAATATGCGATTCCTTCAACTCTTATGAAACATTTTATAGATCGTATTTTTTTTTTTTTTTTTTTTTTAATTGGTACACGATCTGAAACAAAAAAATAAAAATTAATGCATCATGGATTTGTTATTTAAATCAAATAAATCGATGTGTTAATTTATAGATTCTGTAAGGCTATATCTGTGCTTGTGTGTGTTTGTGTGTGCATATGCGAATTTCTCTCACTTTCCTCGAATTTATATTTTGATATACGCAAAAATAGATCGGTTTCCCACTTCTCTGATGTCATAATCTGATATACGCATCGCAGCGAGAAATCCGCGAAGTTTCACACGTTTGGCTTTCCGGCTAAATTTAATTTCGTCTTTCTCTCGGCCTTTCTGCACTTTATTCCGACCGGTTTGTATTCTGCGGCTTGCTACGACTCCAATGCAATTGCAATCCAATAGGGGGGGAAAAAAAAGGAAGAAGAGAAAATAGGAGGAAATGCCAAGGAGGTCTTACGTAGGTGTTCTCTAATGAGAAACGACGGCTCAATTCTACCTATGTTCCGTAGAGTCGGATATGAAAATGAGAGAGATGAAACTCTCGGTTTTATCTCTCGAGAGGATCTTTAGACCGGTGTATTATTGTTACTCAATTTGAAACGTAGTCCCGTAGAGAGAATATGCGAATAATCGGCATCAGGTTGTTAATGAAATACACATCTTGCTTCTTTCTCATTCTCTTTTCCTTTTGTTTTTCGCGAAATGATTGTCTCGACAGAACAAGGGAGTGGCGACCATGCGTGTGGCCAACGTATCCCTGGATATACGTATTTTTTTCCTTCACTTTCGTTTCTAATGCGTTTCTCACGAAAGATTCGATATATGCATTAAGGATTTATGTAATCAATACACAGTTACGTTGTTCTCACTTGATTTATCCGCTTCACAATGTCTTTCTCGAATAATAATAATAATAATAATAATAATAATATAATAGTAATAGAGTAGTACTAATAATATTAATAATAATAATAATAATAATAATAATAATGGATGATGAATAAACTATTGGCTAAGGCTGGTTGTTGTTACGACGTATATACTGCATTTAAATTTATAAAAAAGATGTCTTTGGAAGAAAGAGAAGCTTCTTACAAAAAAAAGAAAAAAGAAGAAAATAAAAATTGCGTACACTTTAGACCAAGAAAGATTACAGACGAACATAAAAAAAGGAAAGATATTTTGTTAATTTTAGGATATGATGCGGATATTTATTATATATACATATATATATATCATTTCGTCGATAGGCAAGATAGGTGTGTTTGGATTTCAAGAAGTATAAAATAATAATGAAAATAAAGTGGGAAGTGTACGATTTCTCTTTTTGTTTCATGCTCCTCGTTCATCAATTGATCCCGACCAAACTTTCCAGATGCGATAGAAAAATATGGGAAAAAGAATTTAATTTTGTGGAAAATTTTTACATCTTGAAAACATATGAGAGAACTGTGTGATTATGTTGAAATGATTAAAACTGCATATTCTTCGCATCAATAATTCCACATATTAATGACCTATTAATATTTATTGATTGATCTACTCATGCTTCGTCAGATTCTGTCCGTATGGACAATCCTTGAGTCAATGCCGGCAACATTTTCGCTTTCCCCCGACGAATCGCGTTTACGCTCCGGCGAGCATGCGGCCTAACCTGACCCTAACCTCCTTCCGGATTTTACGAATGAGACAACATGGCGACCGCGGTACGATGAATAAATGTAGATACGGAACGAGGACGTTTTTTTTTGAGGTTATCTCAAGCGCAACGCCTGTTCTCGTACGCACCGTCCGCAATAATAAGCTCATTCTTCAAAGTGTCGCATGATGGGGGCCGAGCGCTTGATTTACGCCTGTTCTCTGATTTTGATGTTTTATCTGTCGGCCGTCATCTGCGAGATCGAGCCGCGTTACGATGAGAAAATTCAACTGGCCGCGACGTCAACGGTGAGTCCCGCGAGATTTCTCTTCGCGGTCCTTCAAATCTCGTGACTGTTCGTAATCTATAAAAAAAGAGCTATATTTTTTAGAATTGTATTAAATTCTTTTCAAAAAAAATTTACATTTCAAATCTAGAAATATTTAATTTTAAACATTCCTAAGTGAATTTTCAAGCTTTTAAAAAACTTTGAATAAAATTATAAGAAGATAGATCTTTATGCTTTTAAAACGCTCTCCACGATTCTCTAAAAATTTTAAATAAATATATTTTGTAAAGTTGTAATTTCTAAGAAAGACAAACAATGTATTTTCAATAATCTTTTAATAAATTCTTCATTTTAATCAAAATGTTTTTAGAATCTGCCGGAGTTTGTATCTGAAAAACCACAGGACAGAGTAGGTTTCCTACATGCTTTCATTGCGTCTTTGTCAGTCATTGTGGTGTCTGAGCTGGGGGACAAAACATTCTTCATTGCTGCTATTATGGCAATGAAACATCCAAGACTGACTGTATTCATTGGAGCAATTAGTGCTCTTGCTCTGATGACTATTCTGTCAGGTATCATCTATCATTGTTTGCAATGAAAAAGCAATTTCATCGATACATTGATCATTTTCTTCAGGAGAATAAAGGACAAATTTGAGAATTTTAGAGCTTTATTCCTACAGTCAGAAATATATGCATTGTGAAATTTTCTTGTGTAGTATATCATAAAATGAGATATCATGTAGTTTTTTTTGATAATTTGAAACTATGTTCGACTGTGTTAGAACAAACTTTTAATTTAAAATTTGTTAATTAATTTAATTTAAAATAATAAAAAAATTAAAATGGGTCGTAAATTAATTTAAAATAATAAAAAAATGAAAATGGGTCTAATCTAAATAATTTTATCTTAAAAAATTAAAAATATAAATAATACAAAACAAATTATATATTTATATTTTTTTATATTTTGTTTTAAAAATTTATTCATTAGTATGACATTAGACATTGAATTACAAAAAGATTTCCTGTAAAATAAAAGATAAAATTAAGTTTTAAGAAAATAAAAAATCTAAAGAACAGTTATCTGAAATAAAAAACTGTCTTTTAAAAAGGACATATAGTCACCGTATGAATACTGTTACTGCTGCATTATGTATAAAACGTATTTTGTTTTTTTTTTTTGAAAGTTTTTTGAATGTCATCTATATTTAGGAAACTTCTGATATTTTAAAATTAATATTCTATTAATATTCTAAAATTAATATTCTTCTAATATTTCAAATGTAATGCATCTCATAATTTATAATAATTTATATGTAAATAATAATTTGTAATTTGTTTGTCTAAATAAATCTATCACAAGTGACTATTATAAAGTTAACATGAAGTATTTCTTACTTTCAGTGGTATTTGGATACGCGGCCACAATAATTCCTCGTGCATATACTTATTACATTTCCACACTTCTCTTCGCTTTGTTCGGATTAAAAATGTTACGAGATGGATACTACATGTCGCCGACGGAAGCGCAAGAAGAGCTAGAAGAAGTTCAGTCAGATCTAAGAAAGAGAGATGACGAGGTAAACCTCGAACTTTCCCATTATTTTAAACGCAGTTAAAGAATATGTGAAAAAAACTTAACTACATGAAATTATTAAGATATAATAGAAATACTCAAATGGTAGTAGAATATCTTTCTTATTTTATCTGTGAATATCTATCTATTTTTTAAACTAAGAAAGACCAATAATGTTCGAATTTAACGTAAACTATAAGCTCTATTTTTTATAAAAATTATCCTATATTGAAAAAGAACAGAGATGTTTTGATAAAAGAGAAAGCTTTTCTAAATGATGCCTCTACCTCTTTTGCAGGAGGTTAAATAATCTTTAAATATCATCGCTTTCAGTACGAAAAGGAGACGACGAGTACTTTAGTTCAGGATCCCGAAACCGGAGTGATACGTAAGACCACTAAAAGTAGCGCGCTCATGCTACTTTCCAGAATATTTCTCCAAGCGTTCACTCTTACTTTCCTCGCGGAATGGGGCGATCGTTCTCAGTTAACGACTATTATCCTTGCGGCAAGAGAGGTACTTTAATACAATGACTTTACTATAACAATAGCATTTTTATATAAGCATTTAACAGCATTTTATTATGATTATGCTATTTTCAGGATGTTTATGGTGTTGTGTTGGGTGGAATATTGGGCCACTCGTTTTGTACGGGTTTAGCAGTTTTAGGAGGACGTATAATCGCTCAAAGGATATCAGTGAGAACAGGTAAGTGTCCAGATTATTTTATGATGTTTGCATGCAAACACAAGAGCAGCACACACACACACACACACACACACACACACACACACACATAACAAATTGTTAAGAACGGAGAACTAATAAAAGCGATTCTAATACTTTCTCAATATTTTTTAGTAACCATTATTGGAGGTTTGGTGTTCCTACTTTTTGCTATAACGGCGCTTTTCGTCAATCCCGTTGAAAATGTTTGAGGATCTCTTTTCCTTAATTTCAAAGTTTTCTAGCAGTATTTCGCTCGATGAATATTGTATATTGTGTGTACGTTGCGAGATTATTATATATTTGTACAGTATAATTCTATTCTATAGAGTCTTCATAAGATTGTGAAGTTAGCCGGAAATTGTCTTCTTAACATAGATAATAAAATGTATATAAGTGAAAGTTTGAATATCGGCAACAAGGAACAAAATTATTTCATAATTAAAAATAATACAATGTGTACTTCTAAAATCCATTTCTAATCATTTTATAATAAAAATAATTGAGGTGCTGCGTATTCGTCATCAAATTCTTTTAAATTATATATTTCATTATTATTAAATTGATATATTTTATGCTAATAGAATATTTTTTATGATAATAATATATTTTGTGATATATCAAATTATTTTAGATAATTATATAATAACATTGATATTCAATGTGGTATTCAGAAAATAGAAGTCCTTGTAATGCGATAACATTTTGCCGAATTTGCATATCTAATATGCGAATACATTACTTAACAGTACTTCATAAAACTAAGTCGCCTGTACCATATCTGTATATGCCATTTGTAAGATAAACATTGTAATATATAACATTTATAAAACAAAATAGACATGATGATGTCGCACATACGAGATATAATACGAGACGCAGGAATGTTTATGATAAAGAAATATTTGTTCATTTCCGAGTAAAACACGATTCCAAATATAATACATATTTTTAATAGAATTTCTCCATCGCACGATATCGAATGTATAAAGTTAGTGGAGAAAAGTTTATCTAGAGAGAAATCTATTTTAATTATAATCTATTGTAAAAGAGTAGTTTCTTATATATATATATATATATATATATATATATATATAATAATATATTAAAATATTTGTAAAAAAAATGAATACATACGAATACAGAATCATTACAAAAAACTGAATTTCCAACATTTTATGTTTTCTTTATAAATTTATTCTTTATTATTCCCAAATTATTCAGTGTGACATATACACACGTATGATTTTTAGATATCTTCAATTATAATTAATTTTAATTTCCTAAAAAATACATCCTTTAATTATTTATAAAATTATTGCAAATACAATATGATAAAAGTCACTAATTGATTAAAAACAGATGTGTAAGTAGACTGGTTTAAAATATTAAAAATATTAAAATCACAAACTGATTTTAATATTTTAAACATTTAAATCAACAAAAATCTTTGCACAAGAGTTTTTATTTTCTATAGAGTATTTTCAAGCAATTGTAATTAGCACTCTTGAAAAAACACTCGAATTGTGAAAAATAATGTCTCATAATTGTCCAATTATAATGATTGATTGACTTTTAAAATAAATACTTTTTTAATTAATTTTCTCTTTTCTACAGGAAATAACAGAAAATATCACATTTTTGCATGCATAACATTTTAATATATCTAGACAATTATATATAAGGCATATATAAAATATATCCATAAATAATTATAAATGAATATTTTATATATAATATCTCAATGTATAATTACATCTTATTATATCTAATTATATTCATATCTAAATACATGAAAAATGTTTACCGAGTTTTATGTTCTTCGTATGAGAAAAGAAAAATTGCAAATATTTTGTAAAAATTAAAATATATTTCTGTCGAAGTATAGTATTATTTTAACATAACATAAGATCCTTGTCTATCAGAAATTTATTTTAATTATTTTTAATTTTGTAAGAGTTATGTAACTTTCGGATTAATTTTATTTTGTTGATCGTTATGCATGTAGTATAAAAGGAAAATAATTCGAAAATTTGTGTCCGCGTTTTTGTCGAATATATCAGTTTTATTAGTGCACGTATATACATGTTCTATTTACACTACAGAATATAAATCTTCGGAAAAAGCGATAAGTTCTCAAATATATAGTCACTTCGAATTATAAGATTTGTCAGATAGTAAAGCAGATTCTATTTTTTTTCTTTTTATATATTATTAACTACGTATTCTCCCTTATTTTTTTCTCTGCACCATTAATAGAAAGATGAGTACAATTATTATCGTGAAGCCACAAAAACCTCGTAACTTAAAAACTTTGTAGTCACAAATACCTAGGATAATGTTTATCACAAATAAAATGGGCAAATAATTGCAATGTCAATCAATGTCGTAATTGCTTTATTTATTATAATAATAGTAATTATGATTTAATTTGTAATAAAAAATTTGTTTATATCTTCAATTAATTGTTTCATTTGTAATTTGTACCGTCAAATTGAATGAGACAATTTTTTTTTTTAAATTATTAAAATGAGAATTCTCATTCTAAACATTTCGAATGAATAGTTTCGTTGTTTATTCCTGAATTGTAATTCTGGTACTTTTTTAGTTATGAGCTTTTTATGGCCAACGCCCCTTTTTTTGTATTACATCGAATAATAAGCATCGAAATACCGATGCTGATTGCTAATTACTATCTTTTGATCCTATCCATAAATACTAGGGGTGACAGTTTTGCGTCTTAATAAATAAAATGGGTCGTTATCTACCTTCGCAAAATTTCCTATTTTTATTTTCCATATAAAAAGTCTTGTATAAAAGAAATAAACATCTTTATTTTTGATATTTAAGCCTCAAATACTAAGTACGAAATCTTCTTGTGATAATTTTATATCCCTTGAAGAATATTCATTAAAATCAAAAGATTTAAAATGAAGTTCAATTATTTAAAATTGTTTATGTTTCGCTATTAAATATATAGACTTGAAAATCAATAATTACATATGCTAGATCATAATACATTTACTATCTAGAAATTTCTTTTTTCTTTTTTAAATGCGATCTTTCTTCTAACGAAACAAAAGTGTAAAAAACATTTAATGCATTTTATTCTAAAGTTCTTTTTTCTTTGCGAGGATAGGAGATTTCGCGAAAGTAACGACAATGTGGTGATTATTAATCGAATTCAAATGGAAAAAAAAAAACGAATTTATTTAGAAAACAACGTAAAAAATATTAAGTTAACGTAAAATCAAATTATTCTACGCTCGAATCATGTAAGTTTCGTATACTTATACACACGTATCAGATCAATCAACTTTACATAATTAGTAACATTATTATTAACGATACATAACTGTTGTGTGGAAGAAACGAAACGTCATTAGCATGCACGCATCATCGTTACGTTGCTACAATTAGAACCCAAGATCTTTATGATGTATGATGTGTTCGACGTAGCAAGTATTTGATGGTACAACTATAATATTTTCTATGGTTCATGTTCGCTCAAGTCTTTCGCTAACTGTGCAAATCATTTAAATTAATTCACGGAGAACAAATAATCGCATTGCGGTCCGCGGAGATCAAAGATCCACACGCAAAGCGATTGTTTGATTCATCTGAATGAAAATTCAGCGGTGGACAACGGTATAGGATTGAACATTTTAAGAGACGCGAATAAATAAGTCGGACAAGTATGCTCAACTTACATATATGTGTATATATGTATCGTATCCCATTTATCTAATTAATATACTCATGCCTGATCATTCATAGTGGATTCGGCTGAGAGGAGGTTATTCTACATTGTGCTTCGAGGGCTCGAAGTTTCTCGAGCCTGTACATTGGATCCATCATATCTTTCTCATCAGCAACTGCAGCCGAAGAATCGGTTGTTTCTGCGTTATTGGTATATGATTAGATAATTTTTCATAATTACATGGTGTATGAAATATGAAAATATATTATGTTATGGAAATTCAATCATATCTTGCTAAATATTATTTATTTTATTTATTATATATATGTGTGTGTGTGTGTGTGTGTGTGTGTGTGTGTGTGTGTGTGTGTGTGTGTGTGTGTGTGTGTATAATATGGAGACATATAACAAGAGAGAAAAGCAAGCTGTTTTATTAATTTCAATTGTTTTATTTGCAAAAAGCTAATTAGATTTACTAAAAAAGATTAAGAATTAAAAAAGAACAAACGATCGCCAACGCCAACATTGCGAACGTTAAGTGGAGCGTAACCTTAATGAACTTGATTAATGCTGCTTACCCACAGAATATTGATTGTTAGTCTGCGACAAAATGGTTTGGTTTTTCCGCGCCTGATCGATCTCTCTCAACCCTTGTTCTATGAAATCTTGGAAAAATTGATGAGATTTGACCAGGAACGGTTGTACGTCGGCCTCCGGATATTGAAGTTTGAAATCATATAACTGCACTAGGCCCTATGAAAATATGGTTGAACAATTAAAAATGCAATTCAAATTGTAAAATCCTCATTAAAAAACTAAGAAATATATAAAGAATTATGCATCATTTTATTGAACAATAAAATAAACAGAAAAAAATATTCGAATAATTTTTGCAAATGTTTTATAATCCGCCGCAATCAGAATAAGATAGTTTAATATATACCTCTTGCATATGCTCTTTCGATCCAATTTTCTTAAATATCTCAGCCAATTGCTGACGAGTGGACTTGGACAGATGCTTTGGTGTCCTTCCTACATTCGATTTCGGCATCATTTTTGCTGTAGCATTAATCTCATCCGGTTTAAGACTCTATTAAGATAAATGTTATTAATTTCTGATATTTATATAATTTGATATCTGTGTGTGTGTGTATGTGTGTGTGTGTGTGTGTGTGTGTGTGTGTGTGTGTGTGTGTGTAGTAGTGTGTGTGTGTGTGTTGTGTGTGTGTGTGTAGTAATATTAATATAATAAATGTAACATAATATTTAAATATTTTAGAAAATACATACTGAATGTAATGAAACTAACCGCGATTAATCTTATTAAGTAAGCGTGCAATTCAGATTCATTAGTATTGTTTATTAGTGTCAAATGATTAAGTATTGAACTGCCTTTCACTCTGGTCATACTGTGAAGAACTGTCTTGACTGTTCGTAGCGGAGTATCAGACTTTCGTTTCTTCCACCATGTAGTAGGATAATCCTGTACATATAGTATACATATTATTATAAAAGAAACTTTAAAAAATAAATATTAATTTTATTATGTTATTAAATAGAAATAATTATTTGAATGGAAAGATAATTAAAAATGCAAAATTTATGAAAAAACGTAATTTTATAATGAAAGAAATATTTATTAATCATTACTTATGCAAGTTGTGAAAATAGCAGTATATCTTATATTTTTTATTTCTTTTTATTCAAGCAATCGAACATTGATAAGAAATATACCTATATTACCTTGAGAAAACGGTGAACCTCTAAGAGTATTGTGTCGTAATCTAAGTCAGCGGCCCAATTTGACATTGTTTTCACTATCTTCCACAAGCATTTCATCACCAATTCCTCATACTTCGATGGGACATTCGACTCGGCGCAGGAATGAAGCAGTTTAATCAACACGCTGGAAACAAATATAATAAATAAAATATAAAGAAAAGATTAAAATTTAATGTTACATGTCATTTCTCTCATAGATCATACCATATGATAGTGGTATGATTAGAATTGTCAATAATTTTCACCATAATATTATTGATCACTCTATAATATGCTCCAGCCTGATGTAAATGCTCTAACTTATTTTCTGCTAGCAAGCTTATCATCTGATCTACCAATTCCTTCAAATGTATGAATGGGACATTCTTCCCGAGAAATCCAGTGTCATAAAACTGGAAAAAAATTTTTATTAAAATATATTAAAAAATTTTAATTCTTATTTTGTAACCTTTTATTAAAATTTTTTATCGAATATCTTGTTAAGAATTAAACTCTTGCAGTTTTTATTATTTAGAAATGTATTATTCAAATGAATAATGAATGAAACAATTGTGAAGTAATGGCACTCACCACGAGTATAACCAGAAATGTATTTCTGAAACCTCTAGATACGTCCGCGTTTTCTTGGCGTAACGGATACGTTTGCAATAATTTTAATTGCATGTTTATCGATCCGATGAATTTATCTTCCTTCGATTGCAAGCTGATAGCTTGATGAGATTTTAATAACTATAATATAGAAACATTAATTAGTTATTAATACATATATTAAATGCAAAATAAATACAACAAAATAAATACAAACGTTTTCTATTGCGTTCATAGATTGTATTGCAGTGGATAAGTCCATACTGGCCATAGACAAAATGTTACGCTCGAGCGTGTCATCTTTGCTACTAGCAGTAGCAGATGGTGCATGGACAGTCGATGATTTTGATACTAATAATTTCGGTGGTGAAATCGGTATCATCCTGAAAAGTTAATATGAAAAATTATTAATCTGCTTAATAAGAAATAAAAAAAAAATTTTAATTTCAAATATCTTATCAGAAAATACGAATAATTTACATGTATATTATTTCATATACTATATATTATTCAATTTTTTAATAATTCTTAATCGATATTAATAATTCAAATAAAATAATAAATTTAGTTAAATATAAGTAAACTATACAATATTTAATAATCCATTCTACGATTGATTAAGCTTAACTTACTGCATTTTGGGTGGGTTCAACACATTAACTGGACACTCATTCAAATCTGTAAGATTGGGTTCTACTAATATCGGATTACGACATTTTACTGCCTTTAGTTCGAGCCTCTGCAGAAACTCCATATCCAGCCCGAACGGACCTGAAGGAACTTTTGCTTGGATTGACGTAGGAGAATTCCTAGAAGACAAATGTGTTTTATATAGATGTATCGATGAAATCTTTGAAACTTTGACGAATAAAACATACACATCAAATACACTACTAGTCAGATACAACATGGGTTGAAGATATATCTAATAATTCAACTAAAATATCGCAGCATCAATTAAAATATTTTTAATTTGCATATGAGTAATAAAAGAAAATATAGGAAAATAGTTTTTCTTTCAAAGAGAAGAGCTTTCGTTGTGAAAAATCAATACATTGTAAACAAACTGTGCTAAAGTTCTTTTTTCTTTCCATTTCTAAATGAAATAGATTCATATTCAAACATATTGAAAGAAAAAAAGGAGAAAAGAAAAAAAGGAGAACAAAAAAAAAGTGAAACCAATTGAAATATAAAAAATACAATTAACACGAACAACATGCGACAATATTCAAGGATAGACAAATTGTAAGCAGGATGCACGATGAAGTTCCATGACATTTCCCAGCACCACGTTAGAGCGTGTCGCAAAAACAAACGTGTAAATGATTAAAATAAGCAACGAACATTTTTAAATCATCTCGATTGGAAAGACAATTTTCATGATTGATGACAAGTTCCTGGTCCGGCTTTGAAGGGGATTCGGATTTAATAACTGCAGAAAGCACTTGTTCATCCTCGTTATTGTCAGTAGTGCTTGTGGCACATTTCCTGTGGATGTGTTAAAAGCGAAGCACATGCGAGCATGAATCATTCAAAAATAAATTCTTTTTTAACAAAATTATAAAAAATATATAAAATATGAAAAATAAAATAATTCTTTAAACGATCAGCAGTGATTTTATAATATTACATGCATGTAAAAGAACTAACAGTTCTGGTACTGTCTCGATCGGTTCGGCAATTTCTTCCGGCTCCTCGTCATAGTCCGCCTCCATATCGTCCGTTGGTGGGCTGGAAGCCGCGACCGCAGGCGTGGAGAGTCTGGTAGCAGATGCAGATTTTATGGGCCGATTTTTCGCTGCTCTCTTGATGCGCTCGTCTAACAAGGACTTATCTTTCTCTGATATCTATACAACATAAGAAAACATAATTCACTGATTTCTCTTTTTAAATATTAACTAAATTCGAGCACTCGACGTACCTGGCCGATGAGCTTGAATACGCGTTCCCCTTGAAGGAAGTAGGCCTGGACGATGCAATTTAACGCAGCGTTACGAACGGAATTATCACGGTCCGCTATCTGCTTCGCGACTTCCTTCAATGCTGCAGATGGAGAGGGTTGACAGACAGAAACTCCATAATTCTCAATTAGCGATCCTAATTGATCCAGACATTCTGCAAACACCCATATTCTTTTTAATGTATACTCATCAGGTTTGAAAATCGAGAATCGAATTATCTACCTGTTCGCTGTCGAGCATTCTTCGACTTCAAACCCTCCATTACGTATGAGAACAACTTGCTGACGGGATAGACCAGAGCAAATTGTTTGAATAAAGCTCGTACGCCATTACGTACAGCATCCTTCGGATCGCCTATCTATTAAATTAATGCGAATATAATAATGTGATATAATATAATCTTATCAAAGACAAATAAACACGAGAAATAGTGACATACTTTGATAATAAGATAAGGTATAAATGATGCTGCTTCGGTTTCCAACATGTGATACTGATCTTCAATTAACATATTGAAGACCAATTGTAAGTAATCCAATCCTTTTAAAAGCACCGACGGATTAGTATCAAAAAATCGCAATGTTAACCACTTGAGAATAAGATCCAAATTAGACACCAATGCTTTGCTGTTCCCAGGAAGATCCTTAAAAAAGATGTACATAAAATTAAGAAATAATATTATATCATGTTGTGTATAATATATATATATTACAAATTATGTATTATTTGGTAAAATATAAATTGTTTTTAAAATTTCAGAGAATAGGATAATAAGACATAAATTAAAAACAAAGTTATTAAATACCTCAGATCTTGTCCATTGACTAATGTCATCTATTACTATTTTTTGAAACTTATTTTGATTTATTACATTGATTATTTAACATTTCAATTGTCTATATTTACCTCAGTGAGTGCTTCGATAGCTTTTAGATGATACCGAAAATCGGAATGAAACATATTTGCTCTCAAAGTCTTGTTAACATTCGCAGCAGTCATAAGATCCTTCAAAAGTTCAACGAATTCTTCCCTGGGCGTGGTGAAGTTCCATTTAAGCACTTTCAACTTCTGTTCGTCAATCACACGTTGATGCTTCAAATTATTGACTACCAATAAAGGACCGGTGTCCACATCGTCATCTTTTTTACGTGCACTGCCTGGTTTTGATGACGTGCCCTTCTGGAACAATGTACAGTTAACAATTATGAAAAAAGAAAAATACTTTAATAGAATCAAATTATAAAAAAAATTAGAAACAGATAGTAGAAGAATTAAAGATAGAAGAAGTAAAGATAATATTAATTCGACAGCTTCATTTGTCAAATTATGTAGGTTGATTTTATTACCGATTTAATCACTTTCACTACTTTGGCACCCTTTGCGCCACCCTTCTGAATATTATCGTCCGAAGGCTCCTTTTTAGGCAGAGGCTTTACAGGTAAACTAGGACGAGCTTTATCCAGTGCGGCAATCACCACTGTTCTTGATCCTGGCTGCAAGAGTTAGAATTCTCTTCATCATTTCGTCATAAGCATTATTTGTTATGTAAAAAGAAAATTGATGAGTAAAATTATTACATTCAGATTAACATTACAAGTCATTGAAACCTATATAACAAATATCTCACAATTCGTATAAATACCTTTAATTTTTCAGTGTTTCTGGCCATCGCTTCATAAGAGAGATGAATCATGAAACCGAGAACAGCTTCCTGAGCGTTCTTTCGTACGTCCGAATTACGATCTTCCAGATTAGCGTATAAATAAGGAAGGCACACGAGAAGCTCTTCCTTAGGAATCTGTTTCACTGTAATCAAAGGCAATTTCTGCGCCAACCAGCTCCACAGTTCGGACCGTAGCATCGGCGAGCCCGTTTTCAACGCATCACCTATCATCTCGCCATCGAAGAACTCTTTATAGCCGCACTGATCTCCGCACGTATTAATACAAGAGATCGCGGCCGCTCTGATCCAATTTTTGCTATCACCTAAGCACTGCAGAAATCCAGGGAAGAGAGTGCGAACGTGCTGCTTCACAGGTGGTCCAATAGCTGTCGCCAACATTTCGCATATACCTAAAAAATATTTGATACAATAATAAAATCTTATAATTGTATTAATCCCGATTAAAAGACAATCATTAACAATAATCAATAAAGAATAATATGGCAAGTAAAGTTAATATTAACCTAAAGCTGCTTGTGCGATTTTGCTATTGCTGTCAACAAGACGTAAGGCTAGTCCCTGAGGCAAATCGCCAATATTCGGTTTGATAAACTTCGCTTCGGCGAGCAGAGTGTTCACCTTCTGTAATGCTTCGTTACGCACTTTCCAGTTCTTGTCGGCCAATTCGGTTAGCAGCGTTTCAGTAATTTGAGCATTGATGTCCACGCGCGGGATCAATTCGTTGAGTTCCGGCTCGCTGCCACTCACTTTCTTCTCCGATGTATCTTCCATATCCTCCTCATCATCCTCGGCGTTGACGGCGTCAGATTTCTTGGCCTTGGCGCCGCGAATAGGCGCCGGCGGTATCTCGCCGTTGCGCTTCTCACATTCTTGCTCGATCTGTTGCCGTAATGCAGGTTTCTCATTATCGAAGAATGCCAGCAGCGGTCTACCCATGTAAAGATATAAAGTGCCTAACAAAGTCACTGCAGCAGTGCGCACGCCAGGATTCGTCGCCGCTACTGCTTTTTTAATATTCTCGATGACAGACTTGACGTTGATACCATAACCTGTGGAATATTTTACAAATTCATTATAAATTTGATAGCTTGCATATGTTTCACTTGTTGGTTAATAAATAAGGACACTACAAACCAAATTCTGTAAGTCCCCGGCACAGCCACAGCAATGTCTCTTGCTGCACTTTAGGATTCTTCTGATTAAATGCAAACGCCACTACTTCGTCTGCTACGTACTCAAAACTAGTAGCCTCGGCTATTGCCAATAAAGTTTCGACGGCGATCGAACTGTTTTTCGCGTCCGCCAATTTTTCGGCGATATCCATGAGGCAGTACTCAGCCACGGTAGCTGTAAAGGAATGATTCTCTGCCAGGTATTTCACGATCTCTACACGTAGTTTCAGCACCTAGAAAGAAAATATAAATTATCGGATGTGTCTCTAAAAATATTTTTCGAGTTTTTATTAATTAAAATAACTCTGAGTTGATTCCACTTAATTTTTTCATTTCCTATTAAAAAGAATTCTTACCTGGAAATTTGTGTCCTTAAAACCAGGCTTCTTCGCCAGAGTCCGTACAATCACTTGGGCCGGCACTTCCGTCGGATCCATCGTTTTAATGGTGTCCAATAGCTGCGTAACTGCGGCCAGACGCGTTTTCCAATTGCTATCCACAAGACCGGTGATTATCTCGGCTGGCAAAAGCTGCGCCGCCATCTCTTCGATTTCCTCTGGACTATAATTCTTCTCCATCTGAACTGCTTTTTTCGAGGATGCGAGATTCGTGAGAGACGAAGCGATGCCGGGTTTTTTGGTCGTCGACTTTTTCCCAACCACGGTACCGGTGTTGGGTCTCCTCGCGGTATTCGGTTTGGTGCCTTTCGCTTTCTCTTTGCTCGCTTTGCTCGCTTGCGACTCCACTTTGGCCGGTGCGGTATTGGGTCGTTCCTGCTTCTTTGTACCACTCGTCACCTTGACAGTTATCACTGCTTTGTCGGCGCATTCCTTGATTTTCGTCATTTTCAGATTGTCGATGTCTGTGAGGAACGGCATCATCGACTTCTCGCCGATCAGTTTCATCGCCGTGCCAAGTGCCTCTGCCGAATTATCACGCACCGTCGGATCCGGCTCGTTAAGCGTTTTCAGCAACGTACCGGTGTAAGATTTGAGCAACTTTTTGTTGAGATTCGCGGGTGGCGTACGTACAAAACATCGTGCCAAATATGCGGCCGTCTCAGCCTTCACGGCCGGGTTCTTGTTCTCTAAGGCAGCTAGCGTATCCTCGAGAATGAGATCAATGCTTACGCTTTCGTAGATAGCATCAGCGGCCTCTCGCAACGCCTGTACCACCGTCTGCTTCTTCTCACGAAACTTTTCCAGAATGGCAGACAAACAGGCGGCAGCATACGGCTGAAATCGTTTCTTCAAACCCGTGGCCAGACCAGCCAGACATTTCCCCGCTAACGTAACTACTAGGACGTTGGTATCCTTCGAGATAATTTTCTTCAAAGCTCTCACAACATCGCCGTAATCGCCGTTTTCCAGTTTCGGATTCTTGACGAGTGTTTCCAGCGCCTCCAGCGCTTCCTTCCGCTCCTGCCATTTTTTAGCTTCGACTTTTTCATAAAAGTCCTTCGGCAATTTTGATAGGATATCTACAGGCGACAACAGATCGTACGGATCTATATCCGGGATCGAAGCGCCGTCTGCGTCTTCGTTGTCGTCCTCGCCATTATCGCTCGCCGCTACCGAATCACCATTGCTGCCCATATTTTTCGGCTTTTGCGAGCGTAAGAAGCGCGTGGGCGCTACCTTCTCATCGCTGAGATTGTTAAATTCTGCTTCAAGCTCCGTGATGTGTACTGGCTTCAATGTATTCAACTGTTGCTTCAGACGATCGCCTACCCATCGGTACATCTCCACCACCATGGCTTTGCCCTCCTCCCGCACAGTCTTGTCTCTGTCTTCCAAAAAGTTCGCAATCTTCTTCATCAGTGGCTTCATATTGATTACTTTGGGTCCAAATTCCTTGAGCGCCAGCGTCAAGGTGGCAATGCATGCCGAAACAATCTTCGGATTCTTCGCCTCGGTACCCTTCAGTAGCTCTTCCTGCACCACATCGTACTTTTCAATCTCTATGTACATCAATGTGATCTGTACGGCAAGTTCCTTCGTTTTGGCTTTAGGCGCGGCAATGCACTTGGACACAATGCCATTCATCACATCGGCGACTATTTTGCCGGCAACTGCAGCATTTTCTACGAAAGCCAAAGTTGCTTCCAGACCTTTTTCCTGTGCGGCCGCATTACTGTCTACTACAAACTTCTTGATGAAGCCTGTATACTTGTTCCATTCTGGCGACTTTTCATCATCAATGCACTGGAATGTCTTCACGCATTCCTCATACCCATGTAAACGTGCTCGCCAAGACTATGTATCAAAATTATTGTATTATGTTAAAACAAAAATGTTCAAATAATCAACTAAAAAGAACAAGGAACCAAGTTGAATGTTCTTATTTAAAAATATTATTTATTCTTTAATATCTTAATATTCTAAAAATATTAAATTATTGTACAATAAACATTTATGCTTGACTCATATAACATTTCAAAATAAACCTGTATTTACAAATAAAAAAATTATAAATTTTTAAGTCGTAATTTTTAATGTTCTTATTGTAGTAATTAAGAGGCAGATAAAAATATAATCTACCTACAATTTTAAGACTTGAAAAATGCTATACATATTTAAAAAATAGTCAGTACCTTGTGTTCACAGCGTTCCTCCAGAGGCAATTTCATATATTCTGTATCTTGTTCCATGATTGATTATTCTGAAAGAATGACTCATGTGGGATATCCCTTTTGTTTTATCAAAAATAACATCGAGTTATTATAAAGGATCTATATACATGCTTCCTTATATCGAGAATTCAAAATAAACATGCAAAATGACGTTATGACTTTGTGACAAGTCGCCTCGACAAATCTCGTTAGGATAAACAGAAAAATGATATTAAATTACTCAATCAAATTTTAAACGACAAGTCACACAGTGGCAAATTCAACGATAATTGACACTCCTTAGAAATTCTTTCCAGAATGAAGCCAAAAATCGAACGGCGAGCATATTGTATTTTCAAAAAGTCAATGCTACTCTTTCTATCTAACATACAGTATTCTCGCGTATTTGATTTACTCGTCGGAGAAACGACGGTTAAGAATATCTGTCGGTCGGCGAGGTCTGTCTCGTCATCAGGGAAATAACCAAGGCGAAGCTTGGCACGGCACCGAGTTTTGACCGCATTTCCCTCACGTCATCGTCGTCGCTTGTTGCTTACCTAGCAAGGTAACGGCATAGGAGTCGACGAGTGAAAGACGAAAACGGTCGGTCGAAAACGCGCCCAAGACGTCGGCACGCACGCTAAAACGAGAAGCCTAAATGGGAGCGTGAGCGAAACCGCCGTACGAAACCGCTCTCACGACTCCTTTACGCGGCCATTAAGTCTGTCGCGTCCGGATTTTCAAATGTACATGTATCTTGTAACTGTCAAGCGAGAACGCAAACAAAAAGATGATATATAACTAGAGCGGCGAAACGGTTTTCCGACGAGACCCCACCGGTCGTTCGATGTGACCAGTAATTCCACGCCGCGCCGACAGGTGGCGCGAGACGCGTTGCATTAAGATACATCCGCATTCAGATGCTTCTTTTTCGTTTCTTCTTTCATCGAAGCTATAATTCTTTGAATGTGTTGATTGGTTATGGGAAATAGGGAATTTCTGGAGACTTGGAAACTTATCTTAAACCGAAATGAGATTTTAACTAGAGGCTGCAATTTCATGAATATAAAACATGAAAATTCATAAATTCATTCATTTTGTAAAAAAAGAAACATTTGTTATTAATTATGATTTATGGACGTAATCAAGCTTTAAAAAACTTTCTATCTGCAAGAAGAATGAAAAATTGTATACATAATTTTAATGCAGTTATAATAAATTAATAAAAATTGCTACAAATTTCATGTTAGAATCATCTTCTTTTTGGAAATTGTCATCTAAAATTGAAGTAGAATCAGAATAAAGAAGAAATTTTCTGATTGGTTGCTTGCAATCCTTGCATCCAAGTTTCTCGTTCTTTTTTTCTTTCTTTCTCCAACACTCACATATATATCTTCTATCTCGCTTCAGAGAAGAAATACTAGGAAATGGCAACGCAACCTCTTATTCTTCACTTTTTTTAATTTTAATACACACACACACACACACACACACATATATATATATATATGTGTGTGTATATATATGTGTGTATATAACCTTTATTACCCGTAAATCTCCTTGCATTGTCTTCTATTCACATTGTTCTTTTATTTTCTATGACACCAAAACATCATTCATTTATTCTTAACGAACGATTATAACATTCGTCTAATCATTCGTCTAACATATGTCTAATTTTCTTACATATTTAATTTTGTTTTATATACACATAAAAGAAAATAAAATGCTTTGAGAAAAGAAAATATTCCACTATAAAATTAAAACTAAAAACCTGAACGATTACGCTAATGTATTACTATATTGCATTGTTGAGCTTATATGTAATTTGCCATTTAAATATTGATATTTTATATTGATTGTCGTCTTTTGCACAAATCTACAAACATAAACGTCATTTAAATATATTCCTACCAATTCGAAGTGGATTTCTCCAACAACAAAAATTCGATTTTTTTCAGTACTGAATAATTAAAATATAAATAATCGAACGATGCAATCAAGTCATAATTACATTATAAAATTATAAAATTTGCAATAAATCATAATCGTGAATAGTTTATGTTCTAGAAATTAAAAAATTGCTAAATCGTTTGATTTTAATCTAAACTAACTAATTTATATCTCACGACTAATTCATTTGAATTATTTACAGATGCAAATTATTCTCGTTCTCAAATTCCCAACGCAATGTCGAAGATTGGCAGAAATTTCTAGCAAGTACTTTCGACAGGTTAAAATAAAATAACGAATCGAACAAACGAGGCATATAAACTCTTCCATGAAAATTCATCTGACGCGTAATTTCGGAGAACGAGACGCCGGCAAAAAGGTCGTCAAGAGAGAGAAAAAGAGAAAAACACAGAGAGAGAGAGAGAGAGAGAGAGAGAGAGAGAGAGAAAGAGAGAGGAGTGTATTTTTTGAAAAGTTTATTTATCCCTAAGAGATATACAAAACAAACATTTCTTCTCGTGTAACTATCATAATTCCCCTAGTAGTATAACACAGGAAATTCATGTCATGATCCTTTCGAAATATTCCGCTTCTTTCTTTCTTTTTTTCCCCATTTTCTTCTTTTTACCTTTTTCGTTTACTCATTATTTAATTACTCTCCTCGTCGAACGGATTTCACACAACATCAGTTACAATCCGCTCACTTGTTCTTTTTTTCTTTTTATAATCAGCTATACGTTAAAATTATGCACATCTGCAAATCAGTATTAAAATATTACAATTTGATATTTTACAGTCGTTTGTTATTCGTGTCCTCTAACTCCCTCTAAAAAACAGATTCCTTTTCATACGTTCTGCTCATCATGATCAACCATTGGAATCGCGTCTTTTATTCTTTTTCTTTTTTTGTTTTTCTTTCGTCTTTACGTCGACAATGTGAGATAATGTGCTCTGGGGAAGAGGAAGAAGGATGGGGAGCAGGAAAGGAACGGGAGAGACGAAGAGAAGTTTCAAACATTTTGTGAGATATAAATTTTCGATCCGCCGCGAGCCAAATGTCGAGGGTGCAAGTTATGTCGGTCCCAATCATATAAGAAAGCCTTCAAAAAATTTATATAAATACACACGAGGCAGATATATATATATAAACGTATAATAATAACTGTATCCTCTATACGTTTACATGTATATTCATCTCGTGTAACTCGACGACGAAGAGAAGAAGAAACTAGTGAGATCCTATTTTTATTGGTATTCTTTTCTTTCTTTCTTTCTTTTCCTGTCTTTCCATCTTTCTTTCATTCTTTTGCTTGTTACTGCTCGGCTCCTCTCGGTCTTCTCTCTAATCTCGGATGCGATTAGAGTACACTGTACACGCTATAGGATCTAGGAATGTTAATATTACAAGAAACCACAATAATTTATTATAATACAGCCTGCTGTACACCAGATGACTCGAGGCAGTACAAGACAGAGAAAACGCCTTTTCTTCGCGGGGAGCTTATCTTCTATTAATCCGATTACTCCCGGAAATATGATTCAACGAAGGAAACGACGGTTATTATATCATTCACGTGAGTCTCGAGACGAGAGATCTGAACGTATTTCCCTTTTACTACTTTTTATTTTTCTTCCAATGAATTAAAAACGAATGTGAGAGGGAGAATGGCGATGGCAAGGGGCAGAGACCACTTCAGTGTCCGGGCTAAGAAGAAAAAAAAAAATAGAGAGAGAAAGAGAGAAAGTCGAACGGAGAAGAAAGTATAGAAATTTTCATCTTTCGTAATATATATTAAGACTTGCGGTCACACGAGAGTCGCAGTTCATTTACCAATGGTATGTAAGAATTAATGATTTGAACGTTGATCGTTTTCATTTTAACGCTCCTGTGACCGTGGTCAATAAAAAAAAAAAATGAAACATACAAAAATGATTTCTGCTGGTATCGTCGAAGTCAAATTCAGAATTAATAAATGAACGTTTCGTCAGAACGGACATAAACATATGTACTGCGATCGATTTGTTGAATAAAAGAGAAAATTTCATAGCTGCAGGCTGCCGGCAGCCTCGAAACAGCGCGACTGTTTATAGTAAAAAATGAAATTTTCAATTTTTACGAGTACATCAGTCGTCGTTTTGATAAATAAATATTAGAACTCGGCGATACCGCTGCTCCACGAGACGCTAGGATATCGTGCAACTAATTTTGATTTAGTATTAGGCCCTTGCACATGAAATGTCGATTTCATATTTACATCACACACTTCAATTTTTGAGAAAAATACAATATATACGCATATAAAAAAATTACATAATAATCAAGAAAATTTGACACACTCAACATTTTTTCATAAAATAAAAAAATTATAAAATCATGTAAATATAAATAAAAAATGTTAGGAAACTTAAAGATAAAGATATAAAAAAATATCATATTTTCATTTTTATATTCCGGACGTTAAATTTTGCATACAATTGTCCATTTCTTTCACATGAAACACATATATAGGACATCGTCCTATATACCATTTAATCTATATAACAGATTTCTATATTATCCTTATAATTAATTCCTCTTAGCTTTAGCTTCCACTTTATCAAGATGAGATATACGAATCCGTAGCCAATGTAGAAGTCATATAATAATAATAATAATGAAATAAAATTAATAATAATATTAGCATTAATAATATCAATAATACTATTAATGTCCAATTGAAATATCCCGCTTTAAAATACAAAAATAATAAATTTTTCAATTTTCTAATATACATGTATATAACTCTAGAAAGAAGGCAAACAATTTTCGTAGAAACTGCAGCATACTTGTATAAAAAAATTATAAACATACACGATACCTGATCATTAAAAATTCATTGTTTCAAAAAGATGACATCTCATATGCAACGATCTAATAAGAGAAGCTGCGAGCTACATACACATGCACTCTCTTTCTCTCTCGCACACAAGTTTCTTCCGATTCACATCGGAGCAATCGTTTATCAACTACGTAATTAAGGCTCAATCACGTGGTGGCTCGTGGCTTGTAACACCGCTGTGTTAGTGTCGAAAAAAAGTACATTGTACGCTAAAAAAGACGTAGAGAGTCGCCGGAGAATCCAAGTCTGCGTTAAGATACACGTATACTTAATTCTAAACGTACTTACAGCTACTACAAGAGACATGTGTGTACCTCGATGAAAAATCAATTATATATTCGCAAATATGCGTAAAGCGGCCCCATGCCCCATCACGCGCGCTCAACATGATCGATTCGCTAAAAATATACGAAAGGAAAAACGAAGCTCTCTGTACAAGGATATACAACAATCGTCTGTACGTATTATGTGTGATGTGTATGTGTATGTGTGTGTGTGTGTGGTGTGTATAATTTGTATATGTGTATATTGTGTATGTATTTATGCCATACGACGCTGGCGACGAGTAAACAGAACAGAACTGAATTGAGCTAAAAAAAGATTCCCAAAAGTATATTAATTTTGCAACGACGCGATATGATTTACCCCGTTCTAGAGCGAGAATCCGAGAAAAGGTTTCCCTTGCAACGCATAAAAATTATGATCTTTACATGACATGATCGGAAAAATCTGAAAAACACGATAGAAGAATAACAATTATCTCCGATCCTCGCGCTATGGAGCTGTCATTATCGCGGCATTTCGTCATTAGTAAACTAAGCTACGTAGCTCGTAATATAGCGTCGACAGAGCAAAAAGTCAACAATGATTGAGCCCCTGCGCCTTCCATTCGGACAGAGAAAGTATGGGCATTCGCCACCTTCTTGTCTCTTCCGATTTTGTTTTTTTTCTTTATGATTCTGATTTCTTTTTTTCTTTCATTCTTTTCTGCTATCCTACTAGCCGCTTTACATCATTACTATCAATATGTTAAAGTACAAATGTTCACTCATACAATGAATCTCTTGCTCACACTCGCGCATCACTCATGCATACCAGTTTTTCCTTTTAAAATAATTACCATAATTAGCGCGGATTACTTTATCATTATCGTAAATAATCAGGAGAAAGAATTAGGAGATTGATTGGTGGGGACTGTTGAAGAGCTTGGTTGATTGGTAGGTTGCTTGGTGGTTAGTTGCTTTGTTCTCCTAGTGATGGTGGTGTAAGTACGCTCACGCTAAGGTCAATGGTACGTACAGTAGGTGAGGTATGCTTTCAGGATGAAGGACACGGGGTGATAGATGAAGAAATTTCGACGTGCATCCGCTATTCGTCGTCTTCCTTCCATTCCTCTTCACTGTCGCTTTTTATCATAGTTTGGTTCGCCGGCGCTCCTCCCACCATCGGGGCGCCGTCGTTTTGCATTTTCTTTTTGTACGCGGTCATTTCCTGCAGAGAAAAGAATATTTCATCTTTATTTCAAAAACGCTCAGACATTTATCTCATAAATCTATTTTATTCTTCGAATTTGAGTTGCGAGTTGTGCAAAAAATATTGATCTATCTCGACAAGAAAATTCACAATCTTTAACTTCTGATGTCACAAAGTCGTAGAACGGGACTAGGAATATTTATGGCTAAAAGCATAAGATTGTGCTAAATTTAGGTACCCTTTCGTATCGAGCTTTGTCCTTCTCTGCCATAGCCTCGTATTTGGATTTGGTTTCGGGATCTGCGTCCGACCATTTCTTGCCTAATTCCTTAGCTATATCGCCTACGCCATATTCAGGATTCAGCATTTTGACCTTACCGCGTTCGTCATTGCAGAACCAGAAGAAAGCAGACCTGACAAAATCAATCACGAGATATATATATCTATTATTATTGAAAGGATTCACAGTGCAATATGCTGAACTAACTAATTATTTTTATAAAAATTGAAGAAAATTATAATATAACATTCGAAACTAATATATTTGAATCTAATTTTAAGAATCTAATTTTAATTAAGAAAGAAATCAATGAATCGAAAAATTGAAATGCAATATTGAACAAGATTGCAAGTATAAAAAGAGAGAAATAAAACATTCTCAAACTTCAAAAGATAATTTATAAGTTTTAATAAGATCACGTTAGAACGAACTTTAGAAGCTAAGATAACAAATTTCTCTAAAATAAAATTGAATTGACTAATTAAAATTTGTCTAAAATACAACTGATTAAAAATACAGGATTTTTGAACTTTTTGTGTTACTTTTTGTTATACACTTAAATAAGCAAATTTTTTTTCGAGATCGACAAGATATATTATGTATAACGTGAGGACTTACAGCGATCTCTTGGGAGCATTGTGATCCTTAATATGTTTGCGTTTCTTGCCTCTGCCCTTATTTTCTCCCTTAGGCGGCGTGTAATTCTGCATCTCTGCGTCGTATCTCTTCTTATCTTTCTCTGCCATTTCGTGGAAACGTTTCTTCTCGATGTCCGACATAGTCTATGACACACGATATTCCGCGTTAGTATATAGCGTTTTTATATGATTGGTCTTGCGGATCGAACCACATAAAAATATTTAATTATTGAGAAAACAAGTGTTTTCATATTCTGAAACGTAGCAGTGTGAATGTAGTAGGATATATACTTTTTTTTTTAAATTCGATCTCTAACGATACGAAAGATTGTTGTACGTATTGACGTATTGACTCTGTTTTCGTTATCGATAATCACGATCCCGTGACGAGATAAAGATTGACGGTTTAACGAGACGGGACGTGTCAGCCCATAAGTGTCGGTCCACAATAGGTGATTTAAGCTTTAAGAAGTAAGAAATTGACCAATTATAATCGATTATGAAAAGAATACTCGACTATGATTAGTCAATTTCTTACGACTTAAAGATTAAATATTTATTGTGGACCGACACTAACGATGCGCTTAAATACCGTATTCGCACGTGGCATTTATCGAGTGTACATATTTATTCAAAATCCAAGATCAAAGTTGCTCTTGCGAATCCGCTTTCGACGGAACATTTCGCATCCGGTTCTCTTGCTCGTACCTTGGGCAGTGAAACCGATTGGCGGAGAAGTCCAACGAAGTATAGGATCGTTACTAATTCAGTTCTTACAAGAGTTCTCTTTATCTTAATATTATGTGTGGAAATTAGTTAACCTTGAATTTATTTATAACATGTCAAAGATATATTAAAATATCAAAATTAAGTGGATTTTTAAAATATTTATTTATAAAAAAAGTGCGATTTGTGAAATGTTTATTATAGCAAATAGTTAAAGTCTAAAAGGATTCTCACCTTCCACCTCATTGCACATTTTTTGGAGAACTCCCGGAAGACGATCTTCTCCTCGGGATGTTCTTTTTGTGCTCCTGACGACATGTCTGGACGAAGAACGCATACGCTGTCATCCGTCCTCTTGGCTTCGAATCTTTTCCTCTCGGCATATTGTCCCGCTGCAGACTCTGAGCGTTATTTTGTTGAAGATTATTTTGCGGTATCTGCTGTATCGGGTGCTGAAATCCAAGCAAACGGTCTACAATGCAAAACGGTGCTGCGAAAAAAATAATGGAAGACCTGTTAAATAACGACAAGCTCTACTCTCGAATATTTCTGAGATAGAGGTACTTTTATTTTGACATTAAAAACAAAATCTCTCAAAATCTCTCAAAAATTCTCAAAATAGAAATCTTATATTCTTGCACTGAAAGAAGCTTAAATGCTAAAATAGAAATCTTCTACTTTCGAAGCATCGAAAGAAATTTAAATATAAAAATAGAAAGCTTCTATTTTTATATATTAGGAGAAATATTTAATAAATCACATAAAACAGACTTTCTATTTTTGAATAAAATTCATGTTTATGTTAATACGCGAAGTAAGATGCGTCGTGTCGTCGTATTATGAAGAATTTGCGTAAGAGGTAAGAAAAGAGAATTTCTTGGTTGTCATTAGTTCATAAAAAAAAAAAAAATTGAGATTTTTCTCTTTACCGAGATGCAAAGGATAAGTTAGACTTTGCTGCGAGCAAATTTAGCAAGCCATCCGCGATAACTGAGACGTGTCGTTACGCACTTTACGTAATATGACTTGCGTGTTAAATTAATGAACGGCTGCGGCCCGCGATCTCACATTGACAATGAGACACACGTAACAATGCTCGCCGTACAAACGCGCATTTTTGATTTTGTCAAGTAACAATGATCATTACATTGTACGTACGTGCAATATTATACAGTCTATTATTAATATGTACATAATTATTACACATTATTATTATTACACATAATGCCGTATAATAATAATATCACGGACAGATTGGCATTATATTATAATAATTATATTATCAGATGAGATTATGTGTTATATTACGCTCTAACCGTGGTCCCACAAGTATCATCATTGCGAAAAATCACAGTTGAGCTTTATAGTTTTATATTTTTAAAGGAAAAAAAAAATATATATATATATACATACACATATGTATTGAATACACATATGCACGGCACACATCTCCGTTTTATGACGAGAGAGAACAGACTTAAATTCTCTTCCAAACCTTCTCTTCCTCGTTGACGACACAATCAATAATTAATTTCAAAATTGAAAGCAAACAAGAAATATCTATAGACGTACGCATCAAATACGGCCTCATAATTAAAGCACGCACCACAGCTTGTATATTTATAACGTTTTAGTAATACACGTCAATATGCTATATCGCAATATAATTGAATGCTCTTGTCCCGGACTCTTAGGAAATGTGCAAGATGTGATATAGAGCACAATTATAATTGTACTGTACGTACAATATACCGACCGTTATTACTCCGGATAATAATAGTTACCACGTACCTGTAGAAATAATCGGAAATCTAGTTGACCTACGTGCGGATGTGAGATCTGCCGGCAAAATAACTACTATGTAGAATCGACATTGTTATTGAGTCGTTCCATAAGTAATGCGGGTTTTTTTTTCTGCGAACTTGATAGGCGGTACGACGGCCGTCACTCTCGCGGATTCGCCTCCGGGCGCGAATATCGCGACGTTATCTCGCGGGAAAACTCGCATTATTTATGGGACGGTTCAATATATCGTATTACATAAAATATGTCTGACTTAATTAATTAACTACATCTGACTTTGGTTAATTAATAGGTAGTTAATTAATTAATTAATTAATTAATTAATTAATATCCAATTCTGGCGGTGGGCGTTCTTAGAAACTATTTTATTAACCCTAACGGATCGGAAATATCTATCAGAGTGTAACATAAAAATATGGGGGTGCGATAGAACGATCGCGTTACTTTTCCCTCTCGCTTCCCTCCTCGCGTACTATGCACTCGCTGTGATATGCAAGGGATTAAAAATTGATGCCTCCTGGGCCGCAGACGTTGCATTAAGGTGCACGGTTTCCTATGGTCTTTCGCAACGAAATAAAATTAATATCGGGTACGAAATGGAAGTCAGATGTTCACGACGAGTCATCTTCTACGAATGACGATCAAAAGAAGGAAAGAAAGGAGGAGGAGGAGGAGGAGGAGGAGGAGGAGGAGGAGGAGGAGGAGGAGGAGGAGGAGGAGGAGGAGGAGGAGGAGGAGGAGGAGGAGGAGGAGGAGGAGGAGGAGGAGGAGGAGGAGGAGGAGGAGGAGGAGGAGGAGGAGGAGGAGGAGGAGGAGGAGGAGGAGGAGGAGGAGGAGGAGGAG